GATAATTTTGGGTAAGATTAGAGATACTTTTTCTCATTTCTTAGATGGTGTGATTGTACAGTGGCATCAAAACAGTAGTCATGAGAACTTGAGAGCCTAAAATATAAGGCTGTTAGGAAAGAAAGGAAAACAATCCAAGAACAAAATAGTTTCAGCTGGATATCTTTATTCAGTCTCTCCATAAAAAAATACATTTAATTTCTTTATGAGGTATTTTACTAATTACTGGTGAAATAAGATGCCCGTTAATGCTGTTCTAATTTAGAAGCAGATTTTGTCAATACAACAAAATTAGATATAATTGGGAGAACATGTGGAAAAGGAAATGCATCAGGTTTGTGTACATGGCTTCATTAGACCTCTTCACTGGATGGAAAGGATGATCTACATTTGATGGAGCTACAGCCTTTTGTAGGATGCACTATCATATGGTGCATCTATCAGAAAGGTATCTATCTTCTGACCTAGATCTTTATTTTTCTTGTTTCTTCATCATGTAGTGCAAGACTCTAATACATTGAATCAAAACTGTTAGCTGCATTTTCAAATTTCTATGCCCATAATGGTGCTCGATTACATTTGTACGTGACACTGGTATTTGTGCATCTAGTGTGTGCCCCAGCAAACATGGTGCTGTTGGAGGCTTCACAGTAATGGTGGCATCTCCTTGTGGAAATGCCATACTACTGAGTTACTGGATACCTCAGTGTGATGACTGTGAAGATGAATCATATAACTAACCACTGTACAGAAAAGATTGAATTGACAGTGCACATTGCTGCACACTTGCAGAGTACATCAGCTTGACCTCACAGGTGGGGAATAAAACACATCACCATTTCAAAAATGTCTATGGAGGAAACGAGTGTCACATCACTAAGCATAGCTTCTACTCATCTCTGAAAGTAAAGCCATGATAGCTGACAACCCAAGCTATACCAAACCACTTGCCATTCCTTTTATTTTTGAATGACAGTTTCAATTTTGTAGTAAAACTATGAAGTTCACCTGTAGGTAAAGATTCTTAAAATCTGCTGGAGCTCATGGCAAGCTGCAGTGCATTTTTCAAAGAGTTGTTGGGTTAGGGATTGAAAAAAAAAAAAAAAAAAAAAAAAAAAGCAGAAAAACAGAATATCTGAACTCATAATAATTGATGTGTTAACTTGAAGTAGCCATGCCTCAGTGTCAGCACATGCACATTGGATGGAGGCAGGCTGAAAGCAGCAGGGGAGAGGAGGAAATGCAGTGGGAAGATGGACAGTCTTGGGCTGCTGTGATGGAGCTTTGGACTAGATAGGAAGTTGGGACCTGTAGGGGTCCATCAAAAACTACTGAGAAGAGCAGAGCAGAAAAAGGAAAGGAAAGGAAAGGAAAGGAAAGGAAAGGAAAGGAAAGGAAAGGAAAGGAAAGGAAAGGAAAGGAAAGGAAAGGAAAAAGGAAAGGAACCCTAACCCTAGAAAAGAACTAACCCTAGAACTAGAAAAGAAAAGTGTCCAATCAGCATCAAGGGACAACAAAATACTAAGACACATGTACAAGATCTGATCAAATCTGACTTCCCAGCAGATCTGCTTATCTGTAGCAGGTGTAGAGCTAACTGAACACATCCTGTAGGTGCTGATAAGATTATAGCCCAGGTACTCACTGCCAGAATGCACTCAGAGCTTTGGGATGCCAAGTTTCATAGCTTTCAACCTCTCTTTGGGGGACCCTCATCCACCTTCAAGACCCAGCTGGGCAAAATCACTTCTCACAGTCGGCAGCTACGCTTGTGAATGGCAGAGGCCCTCTGCTGGTGTGCAACACTCACTGCCATCTGTTAGTAAAAGAAATACACAATTGCTGATCAAATGGCTGAGATAAGAGAATGAAAATCAATAAGCAACAAAATCAAGCAGGTTAATAACACTGATTAATCTGTGTGATCAAGGAAGGAAGGAAGATGAGCCTACTAGAAACCTTAGATTTGAATTGTTGATATTAGTTCAAATGTTTGAGACCATTTTTGTTGAGGGTGTCAGAATCAAAAGTTTGATGTCCAAAAACAGCTTTGGGACAGTTTCCCCTGTTCATATAATATGAGATCATGAAAGGCTTTCAAGTTTCTAGCAGGTTATGCAACCTGTAATAGACAGTGCTCAGTGAGAAGAGCTGAGCAGGGAGAACAGTGAATCAAACTTCAGAAATAAACCCTACAATCATTTTTTAAAGTTACTATTTAGGCTTTTTATGAATTATATATTGAAAAATTAATTTGATATAATACTTCATTTGAGAATGATTTCTCAAATTTCAGTAAGGTATTAAAGATATACCTGAAAAGATTGTGCAAGGAGTAAAGCATAGGCTGATGATAATCTGTTGCAACAGAAATATAGGCAGTACAGACAAAGCTTGTAGAAAATTTTTAGTATCATGGGACAAGCAAAAATGTTAATATAATGAGAAACAACTTAGAAGACAAGAAGTGCGAAGTGAAATTCTTTCCAGGGCAGGGTCTACCTTTTTTTTTTTTTTTTTTTTTTTTTTTTTTTTTTTTCCCCAGGACTTGAGTTATTCCACATTTGCCATCTCAAATGCTCTAGCAGGTTCACTGATGGAGGTTCCAGCCTACTGTTATCTTGCCCTTGTGGCAGGTGCTCATGTGTGGGCTGCTTTGTGGCTGTAAATCTCTGCCACATTCTGGTGGGGAACGTGCACTCCCACTATGTAGGTGGCTGCTTGCAGTTCAGTGGTATATCTGTATCCAGAAAGTTTGATTTGAGATCTTAAGGTGGATAATAAATACCACCTTAGAACACAGAAATCATGCCCATGTATGGTTATGACACAAACACTGAGCTGACTATCTCTCTGTTCCATTTCTTAAGTCAGAAAGTAATTAGAAAAAAAAAAAAAAAAAGTTTGGAAGGAAAAGAAGTTCAAGCTAAGAAACATGAATTTACCTCTAGAGGAAGGTCTTAGGAACAAAGTTTGCATGTGGTTACAAAATTTCTTTGCTGCCTGAGGCAGCAGACAGGATTATGGACTACAGTCTGAAAGTCTATCCCAGTTTGACAAGACCCCATATTACAGTGAGGAAAGTAACATATAAAGGCTGTCCCAAAAGTAATGCTTCCAATTTTGTTATTTGACCATGGCGTCAGAGGCAGATGTTGTCGGCATGGCAGTAGAGATTGAACCTTTCTACCAATATTCCATTATGTGTTGTTGCCACATGACAGGTGGTAGCAGAGAGGCAGTCTGACACGATGGTGTTTGACATGCAAGTGCATATAAGTGTGGAACTCAATTTCTTGATGTGGAAAAAATGGCACCCACTGACATTCATCAATGCTTGTTGAATGTTTATGGAGGCCAAACAGTGGATATGAGCACAGTGAGGTGGTGGGTGGTGCATTTCAACAGCGGTGACAGTGACCTGAAAAGCAAGCTGCATTCTGGATGGTCATGCGTACTTTTATGAGTGCGGCATGCAGGTTCTTGTTCATTGCTGGCAAAAATGCATAGCTAATGGTTGTGACCATGTTGAAAAATAGTGCTTTTTAGATAGGAATTTGTTCTATCAAATGGTGCTAATGTGCTCTTTGTATCCGTTGTAGTTCCCATGGAAATAAATAGGGGGTATTACTTTTAAAGCAACCTACATACTTTGTTTCATTTTCTCTGTTGTTTTTCATCAGTGAAGAGATGTAAGCACCTTCAGGCATGATCTGAGTCAGCCAAGTTTGACAGCAATTAGGAGCATGGTAAAGGTGAAGTGGAAACATTTTTTGAAGCAGCTCTTTGCACTGACTGAATAGAAGGTCTAATATAGGCTAGCAAATAAGGCAACATTAATATAATCTTTGCACAATCTACAGCAGCCATTAATGTTGATGCTGAGACACTAACCCTTAAAGGGCTTCTTAGAAAAGCTACTTTATGGGAAAAAAGAAATATCTACTGACTTTATGGAGCAATGACATTGATCAGTCCCTAACACAGAGGGTTTGACATGGAACACAAGCTGAGCTTTTCCCTTTTTTACTCTTCCCACCAAATCTGAGATGTAACTCAGAAGCTGCAATTCCTTTGACTTGCATGAAGGAATGGCAGCATTCAAAGCAAGACTTTACACCTGAAGTGGCTTCACGAGGTTGACAGGATAAACTATCCCAGAGCCCTCCAAAGAGGGGATCATGGATGTCAAGGGGAGGTAGGAGTATTAGTTATTTACTTTGTTTGGTAACTACTCAGGGTTTTTCTCTCTGGGTTCTCAGACAACTAATAAGGTACTACCTCTTGCTAGCTTTCTTTGTAACTTTCCCACCTCCTGTGGGGTTTCTTTGATGTCTAAGAAAGATCTAAAAGCTGCTCACAGTGCAGATTTAGCTTAACCCTATCTAAAAGTCAAAGGAATCAGCCACAAGGAAAAAAGTTGAAAAGATATCAGATTTTATTATGCTTTTCTGAAGCATAACTCCAATAAATGACAGCACTGTTTTAAAAGATTGTCCAACTTATGAAATTGGCTAAAGGCAGAGCCTTATGAAAGGGAGTTAAAAGAGGTACAAAAGGCTAGTTTTGAGTTAAACAGAAACAACACCTTTGCTAAAATATAAGATGCTCTGAATCTCAGAGCGAACTGGTACAAAATGCAGGTAACTCCATAGATACAAATACACCAAGGTGTAAGCTAACTTCTGTACTTTTGTTAAGGGACAAGTATCATAAAAGAAACATAATGATTGAGAAATGTAACGGGATGAGCATCACATAAATTTCTCTTGACTCAAAGAGTAAACTTAAACAAGAAAGAGAAAATGACACAAATTTTTTTTTCCTATAACTACAGCTGTGGATTGTGAAACTTCTAGTTCAGTTCCTAAGAGGATCCTCCTCAAATTTCAACATCTCTTTGCACATCTCACAGTGTTAGAAAAGTAACATCTGATAACCCATTTTTAGAAAAAAAGAGAACTGCTCCTTGACTTTTTTTTTTTTTTTTTTTAAGTGAAAACAGATCTGCTTGCTAGAAGTTTTCAAACTGATACATCCTTCTTCATGCAGGAAGAGGTGTTTGCAACCTTCTTCTAGTGAGTGACAAATCAGTTTAGCGTTACTCTTGATGTAATAATCCAAGGCACCACTTGCACGTTATGGTAAGTCATCTTTTCTTTCTTTTGGTTTTATTTTCTTCTACCTGTGCATTTAGTAGTTGTTTAGGTACTCCAATGACTGAGGTGAAAAGTACTTGTGGCATCTTGCTAGAGAACTTTACATTAAAAAACAACTTGGGGAAAAGAACAGGGTATGTTAAAAGGAATATCCTGCTTTTAAAGGATAGAACCACTAGAAGAGTTGAGCAGGGGAACCAGATAAACAAAGAAAGGTTGATTGGGATAAGAAATGTAAAGGAATATGGCTCTTTGATAAACAGATGACATAATTTTTTTTTCTCTGAATATGATGCATCATATAGATAGAAATCTGGATTTTAAATCTGTGACTGCGAAGATAAAGCAACTTATTTGAGTGGAGAGTAATTCCTCTTATGGAATGACTACAGAAAATCTGATATGTTTTAAATGCTTTATCTCAAGGAATCTGTTTACATGTGGTGTAGCTTAGCATTTTACTGCCATTTGCTGCAACTTTTTAATCGTTACCTTTTTAAAGCACTGTGCAAATGAATTGAAACACACTTCAACAATTTTTTTGTTGAAGAGACAACAGAGAGCTCTGATCTGAAACTCAGCATGAAACAGTGATATATGAGCTTGCTCATTTTGACTATGGAGAGCACTTCTCTTGAGAACTGCATGGCCACTGATTTCAACCAGAACAACAGAAATTTTATATGAAGTTGCAATTTGTAGAAATATCACATAACTAAGCTCTATTCAAAACAACACAGACATCTTTCTGAAATAGTCTTTCTTCAGAGATTTCCAGGATCATTTTTTCTTGTACTACCAAGAAACATAAGCCCAATCAGATATCACTGAATTAGGTAAGCAAGCCCAGTCAGTTAATTCAGTGAAGCATTCTAGTCAGTGGTCAACACTGTTTCCTAACACGGTGAGTCTACAGAATAAAGCATAGAAACACTTGGTGCTTTGTTTTCCTATTTTCTAAAATTAGCTTATATAGTTTATGTTATCAGCATATGCTGGGTGCTATACTCAATTCAGGGCAATAAGTACTTTTGCAGAGGAAGGCTTCTTAAGAAAAGACTAGACTCAGCAGAAAGAAACACTCAGAGGAGAGACCACACTTTGCAAGTGAGGCTGAAAGGAAGGAATAAGATACAGGGAAGATGGAGTTCTCATTCCAAGAAGACAGAGAAAGAAAAAAGGAGGGAACAAACTGAGAAGACGGTTAGCAAAAAGAAGGGTCTGTCACGAACGGGATTGCTACAGTAATAACAAGGTAGCACTTTGCAGTGTTAGCACGAATCCTATCAATCGTATACTCATAAAATCCCACTCTGTGTTTATGACTCAGTCGCTTCTCATAGCCCTGTTTGTGCTTCAGCATCATGAAAGTGCAAAATGACCAAGAGACAGAGTTAAGAGGCTGAGAAATAACCCCCACAAGTATTGATGATGCAGTACATGTGGTTAGTGGCCTTCTACCTGCTTTGTGGTTGCTACTGTTCTTCTGGGCTGTGGTTTCAAACCCTTCCACCATGGGTGAATAGTTTTAAGATGCTTGCCCCTGTCCAGCAGGACAATCTTGTCATTTTCAGCAACTACTGATGCTCTCACCAGTTTCTAGTCAGACTAACAAGGAGGGTCAAACTGGTCTCAGTCCTAGGACATACAGGGCCTGGCTGGATGTTTTCTCCAGTGCACAGTGCAGCTGACTGGGAAATTGCAAATAGGAATACTTAGCTATGGGCAGCAACGCCAGGGCATGAAAAAGTTGAAAGTAATCTTGAATATTTGCGCAGTTCGCAAGTCTTGGCGTGCTTTTAAAATAAACAAGTGAATGTTTTGGATCAATAACTCCTTTTTGAAGGTGCTTTTTTTTTGTCTAAGAGACTTGTTGAGAGTAATTAAAAAGTATAAACACTTAAATACTTTCAAATCAACTTACTGTCAATACACCTGAGCCACTGCCACTTCCGTTACCGCGATCTCAGTATTGTAATGACTATGTAGTAAGAACAGCTGTGGAAAAAACTGTTTCAAAGAGATCACCAGAGCTTCCTTAAAACCAGACTTTGAGGGTTCTGACAGCACTTATTTTCTACCCAGGAAACTATATTTAGGTAAGCCTTAGACACAACCTGTTAAAACTTGACAATTTTCTCTTAATTCTTGTTCCCCAAAAGAAAATGTTACACCAAACTCTACATACCAAAGTAGTACCTCAGTATGAACATTCTCATCATCTGTATGCTGGGAACAGAGATAACACTGCCCAAGGAATGAAATGGGAAAGGAGTGGAAAAAAAGTTCGCAAGTGCAGTATCTCCTTTTGTTTGAAGGTGCAGATGTTGCTCCAAGAAAGCTCTCTCAGTTTTGGACAGATTCATATTGGCACTATGCTGTAAAATAATCTCCATAAGGTTTTCAGGAGTTCAGGAGAGACCCAGATCCTCATTTTAAATGTCACAGGAAAGTGGTCAAAGGCCTACTGAGCAAGCAGTCTCTTCTCAAGACTCGATTTAAGATTAGTTAAATTTCACAATCAGACAAAAATTAAGATGAGGAACATTAGCCTTTTAGTGATCTGTATTTACAGCAAAAAATACGTCTTTAACCCAAACAATTGTCTTGACACAAGGAGATGCTTCAGTGATTTCACATGGTGCAAACAGAATGGACCACTGAGAGCTTCTACGAAAAAGGAGACCAGTGGATGGCTCCAATGTCACTCTAATCACCGGTTGAATTTCTTCAGCTCAATTTAGTCTTGCAGAACTCAAGTGCAGAAACAGAAGTGATGGCTTCCAGTGTAGTTTCTGCAAAAGACATCTGCAGTGAGAGAGGACAGACCTTCTCATTGAAAAAGAAGGGCACAGTTGGGGTTCAAAACAGGAAAGGAGTGATGATTGCTGAGTTATCTGAGTGGTCACACAGCAAGCTGGGGCAGCCACAGTATCTGAAGCTTTCTGTGTGGTGAGCAGTCTGCTGCCCTGACAAGAGAACAGCAATCATTCTGCCACAACAATGCAATGCTTCGTAAAAGTAGTTGTCAGGATACAGGACAAAAAGCAGCAGCCATTTTCCCCAACAGCAAGTAGCTCTATTTCAGTGGCTACCAAAAGCATCAATTTCACTTCCCCATCAAGTTACTGGGAAGCACTGACACCTGTCATTGGGTCCCTCTGATACCCATCTTCACAAAATCCTCTTCCCTGCTTCTCACAGATGTGCAGGAATTCTGTAGATTTCTCCAGGAGCCTGTGCAAAGACACTTCTCAGAGACCAAGTTACACAAAGCTACGCGTCTGCATCTGGATAGTCATCTGGCAGACTCTTGGTCCTTACCATGAGTGGCACCCACGTCTCAAGCCCTTGACTTCCTGACACCACACACAGACAGGGACGGAGTATAAGGGCACCCCTTGCACTGCTTTAGTCTCTGTCATCTCACTGGAAACAGTAACAAGAACAGGATGAAGAAAGATATGCAAACAACAAATATACATCCAGAATTTTTAGTGCACCCTCACAATGACAGCCACATCAGCTGTTCACGTAGGTGTTACCTCAAACACTAATCTAAACTTTGGAGCAACTGAGTAATGTCTGATCAATAGAAAAAAGCAATCAAAACTTCTTTAATCCTGAGCCTTGTGGAGGTATTTCACTTGTCAGGAAGATGCTATATTAGATACATGTAGTATAGGCCAAACTGATAGCAAATGAAACCCTTTATGCCATTTGAACAGGTGTTTGCATATCTGTTCTTTCCATTGCAATTATTCCTGCAGGTCATCAGCTGAACGTGTCCAGCCCAGCACTCACAAGACAGGGCCGCACGCAGCTTTTATTCCAGAGTTACCTAAGACCAGCCATTTCCATGGCCCCTGCCTGACCCAGACTCTGAAGAGGACACTGCCTTTGCCATCGGAACCCAGACCAACGCTACTGACTTGCTGCTCGCCAACAGCCATTACAGCAGCTTCAGCAGGTGGGTGCAGTCAGTGCCTTGTGGAGGGGTCATTTCTCCACCACCAGAGATGGTTCCTAGTGGCACTGAGGCTCCCATGAAGCCACAAATTGCACTTATATTTTACCCATGACAGAGTGACATTGCAGGTACTCCCTTGGGCGAGGGCTGCAGCACGGTTTGGCACAATGAGGCCAGGCCCCATGGCTGTGTTTCATTCCCCTCCCTGCCAAGCCTAGAGTTCCCTGCAGCTGATCTCTCTTCTCTTCCTTTGTAGATCAGCACACAATGGAGAACTATACCACTGACCTAGGTGACATGGATGTAACAACAATGATTGATTATGGTGATTCAGCACCATGCCCAGGAACTGAGGAAAAGCACTTTGCAGCAAATTTTCTGCCACCACTTTACTCATTGGTGGTGATATTTGGCTTCATAGGCAACATTCTCGTTATCCTTATCCTGGTAAAATACAAGAAGTTGAAGAGTATGACTGACATCTACCTGCTCAATCTGGCCATTTCAGATTTGCTTTTTATATTTTCTCTTCCTTTTTGGGCTTATTATGCCGCTCACGACTGGATTTTTGGAGAAGCGCTGTGCCGGATTCTCTCAGGTGTTTACCTCCTTGGCTTCTACAGCGGCATCTTTTTCATAATCCTGCTGACCATAGACAGGTATCTGGCCATAGTTCACGCAGTGTTTGCTTTAAAAGCTAGGACAGTTTCCTACGGCATCCTCACCAGCATTGTCACGTGGGCTGTTGCTCTTTTTGCCTCTGTTCCTGGGATAGTATTTCACAAAACTCAACAGGAAAATAGACGGTGTACATGCAGTGCTCATTATCCGCCAGAGCAGAGAGAAGAATGGAAGCAATTCCTGGCCTTAAAGATGAACATCCTAGGACTTGTTATTCCTATGATAATTATGATCTGCAGCTACACACAAATCATAAAGACATTGCTACAGTGTAGGAATGAGAAGAAAAATAAAGCAGTCAGGCTTATTTTTATCATCATGATTGTATACTTTTGTTTCTGGGCACCATATAACATTTGTATTCTCTTGCGTGATTTTCATGATTCATTTTCTATCACTAGTTGTGAAACCAGTAGTCAACTGCACAAAGCAACCCAAGTGACTGAAACAATTTCAATGATCCACTGCTGTATCAATCCTGTGATTTATGCCTTTGCTGGAGAAAAGTTTAGGAAATATCTTCGTAGCTTTTTCCGAAAGCAAATTGCATCCCATTTCTCTAAATATTGTCCAGTTTTCTATGCCGACACAGCTGAACAGGCCAGCTCCACCTACACACAGTCTACTGGAGAGCAAGAAGTTTCTGCTGCGTTGTAGGTTATGCCTAGCAAAAAAAAGTGAAATTGACTTTTTTGAAATCAAGTCTATGATGAAAGCCTGTGGAATCTCTTCTGGACATTGTCTCTAATGCATCTGCGCAAGGTCATGGCACACATAACTAACAAAGCTTTTATTTGCTCATAACAGTGCGGAACTGTACATAAGTGAAATGGAGGTATCAAATTAGCTATGCAGATATGGTAACAGAATTCTGTGGCAAGCAAAAAGGAAAAAAAAGCTTTTTTTTTTTTGGTGAAAGTAGAAGCATAGTTATGTGCTACAGAGACTAGAAACATATCTAAACTGAGAGTCTAACCTAGCAGACTTATAAACTGATCTTCTGAAGTGACCTTGTGATTAGGAAATGATATTGCTTCTTTGGAAACATCTCTTCACCGTATTTTACACAAGATATTTCATTCATTTAAACTCAGTCTCGGTCCCATCCTTTATTACTTTGGTTGTATAACTCTGTAAATAATGCTAAATTTCTGAGGTTTGTGATGAAAAATCTTTACAGTTGTTATGGGAAAACTATGCATTTTGAAAAGACACCAGTATTCCAAGGCATATTTTCCTTTGTGTATGGTTGACTACTGGCCTTTCAGATCTTCTTCTAATAATTTAACAACAGTCTGAGCTACTAAGTGTTGCCATCTAAGTTACTTAGGAGTTTGATATTTCAGAATGCTCTTTTGATAAACTGCAGTTTTATATACTACTTGTATTAACAACAAATACAATGGTCTATCGCTGATCAGTAAATCAATGTGTTTACAATATTTTAAAACTAAAGTACTATATACAAAGCTTTAACCATGTTAGATCAAGTGCAGATAATGAGTCAATAGGGCTTCTTCAGCTTCTTAGTGCAGTGATTTTGTTTGCCATTTTTCTAGCCCACATAAAATAACAACTTTAAAATGTAAAAGTAATGCAACTGTAATGGCTGCAAAAACACCACAGCATTAAAGGTGTGAAAATGTTTGACCCAGATCTTTTTGAAGATAAGAATATGCTATAGACATTTTTCAAAACAAACGCACACACAAAAAAAGTAAAAGGATTCACTGATGCACAAAGCCAAAAACATACAGCATCTCTCTCACTTTTGAAGAAGGCATAATTTGGGGGCAATTACTGGGGTTTTTTTCTTCCTGATTTGTGTAAGTTTTATACAAAGCAAAAGCTTCCATAATTCTTCCATATTTAGCAAGACTGATGCTCAACTATAACTGGGCTTTCTCTTAAAGTTCAGATCTGACGGAGCACCCGAACACAGAAAACATGAAATAAGGAGGTACTCAGGTGATTAAGGTCATACTTTTGTCACAATACAAATTGTTTTACACCAACTTTGTGTAGCATTTCTATAATTTCTTACATTTCCCCTAATACTTTTGGTTTTGGGCAACTCTGGAGATTCTGGAGGAATATAAAAGTGAATATTTTAATGGCTGTTCTTATCCAGTAGGGTAATGTCTGTTTCTCAGATAGCCTTTTTTTTAAAATAAGTTTTTCAAATAAATAGTTCAAAGAGTCTCAAAGAAATTTTACAATGCCAAGTGCTTTCGAAAGCAGGAAGTGAAATAGGGAAATATTTGCTTATCAGGCCACTATTTATTGTGTTTTGTCACATTAAGCACTACTTTTGGACTACTTCCACATGGGAAACATAACAAAGCCATATTACACTTTCAGAAGTTTGGGTTTTTTTCAGCTTCACATTTTTAAGACACTGTGCAGCAATTACTACCATCAGTATAACCAGAAATTGGGTAATTTCAGTATAAAAAGACAAACATCTGCATTTCTTTTTTAAAGAAACAGGAAACTACATGCAGCAACATAGGTAGGGTTGTTTGTATATAACTTTTATAAAATGCTTTTGTATTTTATTCTGCTCTTGGTAGGAGTTTTTATTCAGATCCAAAGATACTTTGTCTTTAAGGAATTACTTGCTCTAGAAGGATTTGGTGCCAAATTAGGTACTGACCAGCTTTGCAGGAGCAAAGCGCAATAAAACAAATGTGCAAGAGTGACAAGGTTTTCTGAGATGTATGTAAAAAGAAGAGCCCCAGTCCTTTGCAGTGTTCTCTCCTACAGCACAGATCTTTTCAGGGGACAGTTTCCCTAGCACAGAGCTGAAATGTAGAGCCTCTTGGCCCGAGAGATCATCAGCTTACCAAGAGCTAGTCACTTCACAGAATCATAGAATGGTTTGTGTTGGAAGGGACTTTAAGATCACCTCGTTCCAACCCCTGCTATAGGCAGGGACACCTCTCTCTACACCAGGTTGCTCAAAGCCCCATTCAGCCTGGTCTTTAATGCTTCCAGGGAGGGGGCATTCACAACCTTCCCCACTGAGAAGGGGCCATACTTCAGCAAATTACAATAAGCCAGATTTCAGTAACTGTAGCACATTTGAATCCACGTTCAAGAAGAAAATAGAAAATATTCTATTTCTCTTTTCTATAGTATTTGGCAGTGCTGGTGCATACAGTTAAAGATTGCCAACAGAGATAGCCATAATATTTTGTATCATGCAGTTCATTAAAGGTTGTTAACTTCTACACGTGAGACTGCTCAATCCTTCCTCCCTCCTCCATCTCCTTGTTTTAGAACAGCCCATAAGAATGAAAAATGAAGAGAAATCCCTCTTTATCACAGGTAGCTGCAATGCTGAAAGAGCAGGCAGCAAAACTCAGGGGCTTAAAAGAACCATTTGGTAACACGGCCCTCACAACAACCTCAGTGCCCTGGAGTGCCAGTGAAGGCCGCCTGTCCCTAATCATCTATTAACAGACACGCTATCTTGGTTGATATTTCATTTGGTTTTGTGCATTGTTAGAGACAGAAAGAGTGCTATTTCACAGACTGCCTCTTAACTCACTCAGATCCCGGGAAGTTAAGTTTTTATTATGTTTAACGTCTGTCCCCCTAATGCCAGAGAAGCCGACCCCTGACACACCCTTAGGCTGCTCGCTTCTGAGGTGACGGTGCCATCTCGTGGCCAAACGGTAACGCTTCCAGCTGCCATCCTACGACTCGCTAGCAACACTTCTTGTTGCCGTCCTTACAAAATGACCACTTCCAGTACAGGCAGTATCGGAAGCAACAGCAAGCCTTACGAAATATTAATGGCAACTAAAGAGAGGAGGCCGATTAAGATTCACGAAAGGAGAGGAGAAGGAGTGTGAGGAGCCATGCGAGGCGGCAGCCGCCAGCCGGCTTCAACCATTACTCCCCACACAGCTGCACGCGCCCCCTCCCGCCCTCCGACAGCGCCTCCAACGGCCGCCCGGTAGCAGCGCGGACGAGGTGCGAGTCGCCGTAACTACCCGGCTCAGGCCCCTCCCCTCGACTCGACCACGCCCCCCCTGTCCTCCCCGCGCATGCGCAGTGCGAGTCGCCGTTTTCCCGCCCGCCGCGGTACTGCAGGGTTCTGTATGAGGGGTGGGCTTGCTGTCAGGGAGCGCCGTGGGGTCAGCGCCCACCGGCAGCGCCGAGCACACGGCGGTGCTGGGGCTGGGGAGGGAGCGGGAGCTCTGGGTTGGGCGGGTAGGGCGCTGGCTGAGCCTCAATGTGAGGAGGGGCCCCGTGGGTAAGGGTGGGCTCCCGGTGGGATCGGCGCGGGAATCTCACCGGGGTTTGCTTCTCAGTTAAAGGATGAAAGGCAGCAAGGAGCTGTTCTTGGTGAAATTCGTCAAATCTTCTGGGAGCTCGGAGTATTTCTTGAAAGCTTTGGAGGTAGGTGTAAGCTGTGGGCCTGCTGGATGTTCCACTGAGGTGATCTCGGTGGTAAACACAGCCTGCGCGTGTACATCTGGGAATAAAGCTGCACTTCCCTAACAGAAGTGTTTCAGGGCAATCATACTGACCAGGCTGAACAAGTGATTCTGTCAGAACTTGCTGACATTGAGCAAAGTGCCAGGTAGGCCTGGAAGGTCCATGTGGTGGTCACTTATCCACCTTAATAGGAAGAAAGTGATGCTTTTTCCCACCTGGGGAGGTTTGAAGGCACTGTATGACAAGCTCAGTTTGTATGCAGTGTTTAAGTCTGAATACTGAAAAGCTGGGGGGTAAGGGAGGCTCTTTAGATGCCTTATGTCTGTTCTGCCCTGCACTATTCAGGGTGGCTCTGCTGTGGGCTGTTTCAAGTAGATGTGCTTTTGTAATTTCCACAGTATTAACTATTTGTGGTTTATGAGTTAAGTAAATGTGGTCGTATGCATTGTTTTCCTGCAGTCTATAAAAGAATTTCAGTCAGAAGAACATCTCCAGATTCTTGAAGAAGAAGCAGCACTCAATATAAAAGAAAATGATAAATCCCTTTACATTTGTGATCCTTTCACGGGTGTTGTTTTTAATCATCTCAAAAAGGTAGGCTACACATCAACTTATACCAGCTACATTCTTTCCTTTCTAGGAGGTCTTATGGATATTCTTAGACTGCACATTTTTTCTTCTTGCACTAAACGTAGTAGTATGCAGTATTCACAATGAAATCTTTAGAACTTTGCTGCGTGCTGTATTTAGTGGAGAAGACAACTAGTAAAGTGTAAGGATTATTAAGAAGTAGTGGAAAACTAAACAGTGTGGTCAGTTCTGATTTTGCTGGAATCGGCTGGCTCCCGCTTTTTTTCCTCCTGAGTAACATGTTTTTGTTTGACAGGCAAGGAATTGTCCGGCAGACAAAGATAGGCTGTCTGGAATCCAATAGCATGTTAGCTATAGGATGTACTGTTTTTATCAAGCCCAGAAAGCTTAAGAAGGTTGTACTGCGAATTTCCAACAGAATGTGAAAACAAAACTGTCACTTATCTAGTAAAGCTAGACAAGGATAGGCAAGGGCTCTGCCTTCCCCAGAATTCCTCAGGTACGAAGAAAACATTCCTTGCTCCAGTGTACCTTCTGCTCATTTTCTTTGTTTTGTTTCTTTTCCATGTTATTTAATTGCAGCTTGGTTGTAGAATTGTTGGACCACAGGTAGTCCTGTACTGCATGCAATCCCAGAGATGCGTCCCAAGAGCTGAATATCCCGTGTATAACATGACCATGGCTGACGTAACAATATCCTGTACCACCTTAGACAAAGATGTTCGGGTAACGTATTGTACACAGTGGATGGTTTAGCAGAATCACAGAATCACAGAATCATAGGGGTTGGAAGCAGGTTTTTCGTTTACTGCTATGGCATCAGTCATACTATATGCAACTGTGATATGATAACTGTGCCTATGTCTATGTATGTCTGGTCTTTCTATGGTTTGTAGAGTATTTGTCATTTATGTAAAGAACTGCGTGGAGAACAAGGAAGTCTTTTAATAATGTGTGATATACAAGCATGAACGTAGTGGTGTATCTATATCTTATAAGCATATGTAACATTGTAAAGTAGTCATTAATATGTGAATATGTATACATTTTAGGATTTTTTTATTGACTGATGGGTGGATCTGTTGGCCAGCTATTATGCTGAAGAAAACATTATATTTCTGTTTTTTCAGTCTATGGTAAACATTAAATATCCAACCAGCTGTACTTCACATGAGTTATGCTAAACTTTTCTTTTCATATATTGCAACGTCGTAGTCTTATGTATGCTACCTGAAAGAACAGCCATCAGTAAATTTTTTTACTTATGGTAGTAACATCTTTACTTAAGGTTATATTGTTTACCATCCAGGCAAATAAAATGGAATTGACATTTTTTATTAGTTTTTAGAAGAGACCACTGAGAATTGAAACTGATTTATTTTTGAATGTGATGTAGGTTCCTAATTGTTTTTTTCTTTTGATGATTTTCTGTAATTTCTGTACCCAGGAAGAAGTTCATAAATATGTACAAATGATGGGTGGACGTGTGTACAGAGACCTCAATATGTCAGTAACTCATCTTATAGCAGGAGAAGTTGGCAGCAAGAAATATTTAGTAGCTGCTTCTCTGAAAAAACCTATTTTGCTTCCTTCTTGGGTTAAGACACTGTGGGATAAATCTCAGCAAAGGTAATGAAAACAGAAACGAAGTAAAACTTACTTTGTGTTGGGGTCTAGTAATTCTTATGGTTATACACAGTGCTTTCTTTTTCTAATTGATATTACTGAGACAAAAAAAGGATATTTTTTTCATTCTTTTAGCATGATGAGATACACTGAGGTTAACATGGAAGACTACACTTGTCCTGTGTTTCTTGGCTGTACAATTTGTGTGACTGGCTTAAGTAGTTCAGACAGGAAAGAAGTCCAGCGCCTCACGACTGAACATGGTGGGCAGTATTCAGGGCAACTCAAGATGAATGAATGTACTCACCTCATAGTTCAGGAGCCAAAAGGTAAAACTTACAGCGTACGTATTGTTTTCCCTCCTTGACTTGAAGTAGTGTTGCTCTTGCTGCTTCTGTGTAGAAAAGTGGTGTTGATGGGAAGAGTAGCATGGGCACTCTTACCTTGCTCGAAAGGTAGGAGAAGAAAGGAAGGTGAATAAGAGAAGAAATAACAGCAGAGACTCTGAAGAAGAGCAGAAGAAAAAGGGAGAAATGTAGAGGGAGAGGAGAGATGAAGAAAAACTATGTTTTTGGGAGAGTGTGATAGGACTTAGTTTATATGTTGTTTGAAATCTGATAGTGAATTTATGATTTAATTTTTTTTTTTTAACGACCTATTCTTTGTACCTTCTGAACTCCTTTAAGATAAGATGGAAACTTTCTTCCCTCTTGGAGGGAGAAAGGTTTGTACTTTCTTTGTGGGAAGAAAGAATATTTCCTATTTCATAAGCTGGTAGAATGAGAATTTTGAGATGAGACAGTTAAGTCTGATTTCTGTGTGTTAGAATGTGCTGGTACTGGCTCTATATCACAGTTTATTCAGTAGATAGAGCAAAGTAAAACTGAAAACTTCTTGTAGGTGGAGCTTATCAAAAGTGTATGGCAAGATGACATACTGTTAGCAATGCTGTTAGTGGTGGGAACCCTTGATGAAAGCTCTGCAGAGGGCTTCTTTGTACCTTGCTGATTTATAGTGGTTTCGTGCCCTGTGATCCAGTACCCTTGAGCTCATTGTCAAGGGGATTTTATTCTAACTTTAAATAAAGGCAAGTAAATAGCAGCTCATGAGATGAGTTCAAGGTAGTACAACTTGCACCCCAAAATCAGTGATTTGAGTTTTCAGCTTTTAATGTGCATCCATCTTTCAGTGAACGTACATGCACCAGTCTTTTAGTAACTTGCATTTCTTAAATTTTATTTAACCTTGAAAGGTCAGAAGTACGAATGTGCCAAAAAATGGAATGTCCACTGTGTGCCTTTGCAGTGGTTTTCTGACAGCATTGAGAAGGGCTTCTGTCAAGATGAGACAATGTATAAAATAGAGACTGGATCAAAATTAAGCAGTACACCCAGTACCTCGACACCCACCAGTCACGCCAGCAAGCTTGACAGTAAGTAAGACCTTTTAGGATGCATTTAAGATAAGGTATAAAATGTTTGGAATAGTAAGAAGGAAGAACTATTTAAAATTAGGGGAGTGCTCTCTCACTTTTGTAGTGATAATGTTTTGAAACTTGTTTTCTGCAAAAAGCTGCAACAGATTACTTTTAGGGATGTTAGATATTGCAACATATGTGGAGTTAAACATGTGAATAATTGTTTAAAAGTCAATTTGATTTAGGTATACTTGTCTGCTTAAGAATCAGTGGTTTGTATCCCAAAGTGCAGGACTGGTCCTACATTTATAATTTAGGTCATGTGTCTGTTGTGAATTAAATCATAGCCTTAGAGGGAAAACAATTGCTGACTTTCATGTATTTGTCTTTGTTTATTCTGAAGGAATAGCAGGAATGGTGAAAGCATTTTGCAAACAAGTATGGTAGCATAAAAGATACAGCCAGCTCAAATATGATTTTTGTTTTTAAATACCTGCTATTGACTGCTACTTCAGGAAATGGCTGAGTGATGATGCACTAGGTTAGCACTAGCAATAGTGTGCTGGGAACTCAAGTTTGATATTACAAAAATATGTAACTCTCTTAAATCATTGAGCTTTGGGTTGAGCTCTTTTACTACAGAGAGGCCTCTCTCTTATGAATTGTTTCTGTCAGATCAGTTGTCTACCAAAGTGGAATAAAAGCTTTGAAAATTGATTTTTCAGTGACTGTTAATTCACGGATAGCATCCATATGGGAATAAACAAAAGGCACATAAGCACTGTTTCTAGTAAGACCAGTATTCAGACACGTGTGTAAATAAAACCCTTGGTTTAGCCAAGGCCTTACTTATCTGTTCTTCAGACTACATTTTCTTTTAGCGCAACAAAATCAAGTGTGACAGCTTTCTATTTTTTTTTTTTCTTTTTCAGTTAAGTAATGGAAAAAGAGGAGCCAAAACTAATGCATCTTTTATTTCCATTAAAGCTCATTCCCTTTCGGACGTCAGCTGCATTTCCAGTGTAAATTTGAGTAGAGTTAATGAAACTGCTTGTAGTTCTGCAATGAGCAGCAGACTGGATCCTCCTCCTGATGAGTTGGAGAACTTGGACATAAGCTCTTTTCAAGCTCCTGAAGATTTATTAGATGGCTGTCGAGTATGTTTAACAATATATTTATTTCAAATGTTCTGTCTTCACATGTGGAAGCACACTAGATTGAGGTGCTGGCAGTTGCTGCTAGAGTAAATTACATTGCTTTATTAGCAGCAAATAATGCATTCCTGTTCAGTTTATATACTGTAGCTTTTGTGTGCCAGGAGCATAGAAAATAAATTTGTTATATTGAATATATAATATGCCAGCATTTATATAAACATATTTTAAATACAGTAGTGAATGGGTTCCAAAAATGGTGCGTGATTTTGCTTTTTGTTTCTTTGTTTTGTTTATACAACTTCCATGTTTAACTGTTGGCTGGCTGGCTGTTACATTATTCAATATTCAGATGTTTCTAGAATACTGTATGAAGATAAATGAATCAAATTTTAAATGCTCCATTTCTCTTTTTTACTTTTCTGAAATTACATCACTTATTTCTGAGTTTTAGAGCAGCCATAGCAAGCTGTATCAAAATATTCTACTTTTTTTTTTCTTTGAAGCCTTTATCTTTGCTGTGTTTTCACTGCAGGTCTATCTATGTGGCTTCAGTGGTAGGAAGCTGGACAAGATGAGAAGGCTTATTAACTGTGGTGGTGGTGTTCGATTTAATCAGCTTAATGAAGATGTTACCCACATCATTCTGGGGGAAAACAGTGACGAGCTGAAGCACTTTTTGGACAAGATGCTTCACAGGTTCTGATAGCTGTATTGCCTAAGGACTACTTCTGCCTTGTTTGCTATCTCTCACCAACTTATAAGCAAGAAAATATGTATTGATTTGGAAATCCTAAGTAGCTCTTGTCTTAAATAAGAATTATAGCTGGTGTTTGCAACTCCGTCCTGATGTGCTCTTGAATACTGTAAATTTTGGGTTGCTATGAGTTGCCTCAGTAAATAGAAACCAAGTGTTCTCACTGGTGAAAACCAGGTATTAATGTATTAATATATTGAGGAGGAAGGATTTGGCAACTCAGCAGTAGGCTGATATAATGCAAATTGTAGAAAATAAATAAGAAACTGTCTGTCCTCGTACATAAGCATGAAGTCTTAAAGTCTGCTAAGCATACCTTAGTGTTGGAGTTACAGACTTAAGGTGCACGTGTGTGTATACATAGTTTGTAGAATGGGAAACAAGAATCATAGTTCTGAGACCTGCTGTAACTTATTGGTATAACACTTTATCTTATAGGCCTCATATAGTGACAGCAAAATGGCTACTGGAGTCATTTAATAAAGGCTATCTCTGTCCAGTGGAGCAGTACATCCCTCAAAACTACCAGCTATTTATGAATACAGTTTTGGAACAACCTGATGCAAAGTTAGTTCTTCCCAAAAACAACAGCATCTTGAAGAAAAAAGCTGTGAATGTTGTAAAGCTCCAGAAAGCTGCAGAAGATGACTTCCTCTCTCAGTATGTCAGTAATGATTCTACATTAGGTAGGTTCAAGGCTTACATGCTGTGGACATATGAACAGGTCATGTAAAATTTGCGTTTTCAAGCATTTTGTTATTAAAAATTGAGTTTTTTAACTTCAGTATTGTATTTTTAGGAGTCATTCTTCATGAAGCTGTTTTGAGTTGTCTTTGTTCTTGTCAAACTGCTACTTTTTTTTTTCTTTTTTCTTCTAGTTGAAGCTGAGAAATTAGCATCTGGTAGCTTCAATGATGTTACTCATGTGACTGTTCAGGAAGAGAATCAGTCTTCTGTCTGTAATGGTTCTTTGGGAGAGCCTTCTGCACTGGATGAAGGAGGTTTATTTGCCAGGAAGAGATTTCTTCTTTTGGGTTTTGGAGAAGAAGATGAGTCCTGCATTGCAGATCTGATTAAGGAGCATGCTGGGAAAACTGTGCCACTGCAAAGCAGAATCATTGCAGACTATGCTGTGGTACCTTTATTGGGGTGCTCTGTGGAGCCAACTGTTGGTGATGTTGTCACGAATATATGGCTGGTAAGGGAGTTATATTTTCAGTCCAATGAGTAAACATATCTATTATAAATATGTCTTGCTAGAATGCAGAGTTAGTGGTGGCTTTTCTGCAAATAAGATGTTGAGAAATTAGTCTTATTTCTTTTGGAATTTGCTAAATGAAAGCATTCCTTAAAGCCTCTGCATCTTTATGGTATCTTAGTTATTTCAAAAATGAAATTTTCTACAGGCTTGTTAAATAAGATTCATGAATCAAAGGCTTCTGGTGGGAGGGTCTGCCAGCACTTTAGACTCAGAATGGCTTGGCTTGGAAGGGACCTCAAAGTTCATTTAGTTCCAACCGTGCTGCCAAGGGCAGGGTTGCCAACTGCTAGATTGAGCACTAATCAGGTTGTCCAGGGCCCTGTCCAGTCTGGCTTTGAACATCTCTAGGGATGGAACATCCACACCTTCTTGTGGCAAACTGTTCCAGCACCTCACCACCCTCTCAGTGAAAAACTTCACTCTGACATGTAATCTAAATCTCTCCTTTAGTATAAAACCATTCCCCCTTTGTTCTATCACTGCCTACCTGTGTAAAAAGTTGTTTTCCCTTTGCTGCTCTCTTTATATATTGGAATGCTGTAATGATGTTTCTCTAGAGCCTTCTATTCTTCAGATGGAACAAGATCAGCTCTGTCAGCCTGTCTTTGTAGGAGAGGTGGTCCAGCTCTGTGAAAAACTTCGCAGCCTTCCTCTGGACCTGCTCCAAAAACCGTATTTTTCCTGTTCTGAGGCCCCAGACCTGGACACAGGACTTCAGATGGGGCCTCATGTGGGCAGAGCAGAGAGAGACAATCACCTCCCTCTTCTTGCTGGCCATCTTTCTTTTGATATAGCCCAGGATACTGTTGGCCTTCTGGGCTGCAAGTGCTCACTACTGACTCATTTTAAGTTTTTCATCTAGCAGGACTGCTGAGTCCTTCGTGACAGGGCTGGCCCAAGCTAAGAGCAACACCTTGTACTTCACTCTGTTGTTATAGAATCATAGAATGGCCTGGGTTGAAAAGGACCACAAAGATCATCTAGTTTTAACCCCCGTGCCATATGCAGGATCACCAACCACCAGACCAGGCTGCCCAGAGCCACATGTGTACATGGGCCTAAATTCTCTAAATATTCTCTAAATAATGAATTTGTAGAATAAGGCATTGACTAATAATGATTTTGTTTGATATCTTCGCACTTAGTGTTTCTGGCTACATCCTTACCACAGCTTTCTGTCTTGTGGCAGAGAATGAGTCTGCCTTATAGCTTGAGGTCAAAAAAAACCCATGTTGTTTTCTAAGAGGGGACTTGTGACATAGATTAAGTGCTGTTAGTATTTTTCAGCATTAGATAAATTTCTGTGAAGTGAATCTATACAGACTGACAGATTGTCCCTTGAGCTACTTCAGGGGAGCCTCCAGGATTGGAGGAGTAGTAACTAGAAGTTCATCTGAAAAATGCCTAAGTCAGTCAAACCTGACAAGGCTAATGTTATCTAGAAGATAATTTGTCTAATTGCATGTGAAAAAACTTCATCAAATGCAGTGATAGAAACAGAACTGCTTGTTATCAAGTCCATAAATGCTGTTGTACAGTAGCTGAGTTACTGCAGTTTTGTGTTTGGCTTGATTTGTGTTTTATCTGTACTGTTGTCTTTTTTAAGGTAACGTGTGTGGAACAGCAGCTCCTCTTAGATCCCCAGTCCAATCCACTTTTCACACCAGTCCCAGTAATGGAAGGAGTTACTCCTTTGGTGGACTGTGTTCTTTCTTTTAGCCAATTTACTGGTGCAGAGAGAGACTCCCTGGTTTATCTGGCAGGACTTCTAGGAGCAAGGTATATTCCTTTCTGTTCTTATACAGCCACTGTGATTAAATCACTTAGAAATTTCTTCTTTTATAGAACTAAAATATTTCAACATGAAGTTCTTTTGGATTCAGTTCATCTAAGTTGTGACTATGTAGTTATTTACACTTCGTTAGAGAAATCTGGTCTGTTTTCAAACAGCCTGATTTCTGTCAAAATCCCCTGAGTTGGTAATTTTATAAATTTGCTGACAGAATTGACACAAAAATGTCAGTTTTTCAGATGTCAGATTTTCTACATTCTTAGAATTGTAGAATAGCTTAGGTTGGAGAGGACCTAAAAGATCACGTAGTTGCAGCCCTGCCTGCAGGGTTGCCAACCACTAGGGCAAGCATGCAGGATCCCTTCCAACCTGGCCTTGAATGCATCAAGAGATTGGGCACCCGCAACCACTCTGGGCAATGTGTTCCAGCACCTTACCACCCTCTGAGTAAAAAATTTCTACCTAACATCTAATCTAAATCTCCCCTTTTTTTTTAGTTTAAAGCCATTTCCACTAGTTCTCACTATCAGACCATGTAAAATTTAGTCCCTCTCCGGCTTGTAAGCTCCTTTCAATTACTGGATGGCTGCAATGAATTTTCTCACAGCCTTCTCTTTCTGGACTGGTCACGCCCAATTCCCTCAACCTGTCTTCATAGGGAAGGTGCTCCAGCCCTTCATCATCTTTGTTGCCCTCTGGACCTGCTCCAGTAGCTCCATATCCCTCCTGTACTGGTGACCCGAGGCCTGGACACAGTGTTCCATATGGGGCCTCGTGGAGAGAGCAGAGGGGGACAGTCACCCCCCACTCCCTGCTGGCCACTCCACTTTTGGTGCAACCCAGGATATTGTTGGCCTTCCAGGCTGCAAGTGCACGCTGCTGCTTTTTGTCCATCAGGACCCCCAAGTCCTTCTCTGCAGGGAAACAGGCCTGGGATAATTCTGCTGGTTCTCTTTGTATTACTTTAATGTATTTTATAGCATTACAAACTTACCACAGGTTAACCTTGTTTATGACTAAATAAATGTTTTATTAATCTAATTTTAGAGTCCAAGAATTCTTCGTGAGAAAAGCCAATGCAAAAAAGGGAATGTTTGCAAGTACCCATCTTGTGGTGAAAGAGCCGGATGGTTCCAAGTATGAGGCTGCAAAGAAGTGGAATTTGCCTGCAGTCACTGTAGCTTGGCTTTTGCAGTCTGCAAGGACAGGAAAGAGAGCAGATGAAAGCAAGTTTTTGGTTGAACATGCAGATGCTGAAGGTTGGTTATTAGCAAGCTAGGGAATATGGGAAGGAAGGTCAGATGAATGAAGTTCTTTCAAACAAGTGTATGTAATATCTGTGTTTTTTTAAAAGAGTAATCAGATGGCTTGCTTACATTTTATTTGTTTCCTTTTAAAGATGAGAGTTCCATTACTAAACTTAGCAAGACACCACCAACTACTAAATTTCCCGATTCTCCAGAACGACCTGCTTATCTCCACAAAGCTGGAAAAAAACCAGCCGTCACCCCTCTTGATATCAACAGGTTTCAGAGTAAAGCTTTCCAAGCTGTAATCTCTCATCGTATTGGGAAAGCAACAACTCCTCCTGCACCAGGAGGACTGCTACAAAAAGAACCATCTTTACACCTTGATACACCATCAAAATTTCTTTCCAAAGACAAGTTATTCAAGCCTTCTTTTGATGTAAAGGTAATATTCTTTGCAAATTTTTTGTGTTGACAGAGCCATTGAGGTTTAAAGATATGCATAAACTTAAAAACAGCTCAAAAAAGTATCGTAAGCCTCTTTACCCTGTTAACTACAGCCTTTCTATTTTGAATAAAGCCAGAAAAACGTCCTCTGTTAATTTGCATATATTTCTAGTTAACAACCTGTGAATTGAATCTGTTGCAGTAGATGTTTTAATGTCGTTAACAAAGCTCCTTTGTGCCTATTGCATCTTATGTGTTCTACACCTCATGGAACATAATCTGTTCTTTCCATTGAACGACTGACGAATATAACCAGAAGGCTTGTTAACTCCTCCAGATATTAGGAAACAAATGTTTATTTGTTCTGTGGTGAAATGCTACTTTAATGACTTTTTTAAGGAAATAACTGTATAGCAATTAAAATTATTACTGAAAATTGAAAAATGGATTAGGGCTTTGGCTTCACTGTCTCATTCTGAAAGCCATGAAAAACTATCAGCCTTAAAACATGGTAAGGAAATCACCAGGAGTGCTGGAATAGCTGTTGAGTGAATTGAATATGCTTGTGAAGCCTTCATATTTGTTTTTCATTATCAAGGCCTTGATTAGAAGGTGAATTCACTGATTTTTCAGCCAAGTTGCTGGGTTTTTGTGCTAGTGGATTTTTTTTCCCGCTCCTCCCTTCCTCCCCCTCTTCCCTTCCAATGGAACAACACACATTGGAAATGGCTTGCTTGGGATTGGGAGTACCTGGATTTGGTTGCTGGCTTCTTTCCACTGCAGGCAGTTCTCCCTGATGACAGTGAAAAAGAGGATTAAATCTTTTCTTCTTCCTGCTTTAAATATGTATACTCTGAGATTGGGATTCTCTTATATAGTTCTTGTGCAGTGGTACTTTGATTTGTGCTTGCTAGCTGCTACTGTAGTACACAGTCCTGGTTTTATGAGAATGTTGGTTGTAATGCCTTCATGAAAGTCAGTCAGTTACTTTGGTTTTTTTGGTAGGATGCTCTGGCAGCTTTGGAAACTCCAGGAGGCCTTGGTCAAAAGAACAGGAAGCTGAGCACACCTCTTTCTGAAGTCATTGGCAGAAACCTGAAATTGGCACTGGCAAACAGCTCTCGGAATACAGAAGCTCTTACTGCCAGCCCTCAGCTGAAGGCTGCACAGCCAGAAGTGGTAGGAGATTTTGGTTTTGAGCTTTTGGAACATAGATTGATTAAGAAAATACTGTAACTTTTGTGAGTTAAGCTGTAAAGGAGTTTGTGCATTTTGATACATTTGAGTAAAAATGTGTGTGATTATGCATCTTCAACAGCAAATAAAGCAAGATAAGGCAGTAGGCAAAAATTTAAAAATCTTTTTCTCTTGTCTGTACTGCCATCCCAAATACTAAGGAGTTGCTGAGGTGCATGGTTTATAAAGCTGTGACAATTCAGTTTTTGTAGTATTAGGATAGTAGGGTTTTATAATAATTAAGAAACTCCGAGGCTCCTGATGAGCAGGATTAAGTATTTCATGTTGGACTGAAGTTTAGAGCTCCAGCCTAATCTACTCTAATGAGAGAAAACAGGCAAAGAAGCAAGAGAAAAGAGTGTTTTTAGTACTGCTTTTCATGTTGTTGCACGATGTATTGTGAAGGAGGCGATGAAACTAATGGCATTCAGTAAGAGAAGGTTGTTACTTCTTATTCTGTAGTTTCTGAACTCTAACCTTTTCACTCTGGTAGAGTGAAATGTTTTTGTGGTATGAGGTTTGATAATTCCTTAATTTTGGTGCTTAGGGAAGTGGTCAGTCTGTGATGAAAAAAGCACAGTATGGTTTAGGGAGACTGGCTAAGAGTGAATCTTTTGTCTTTGGATTCCTAGTGCTTGGAAGGATAGTTGTGCTTTCTTTTGACGTGGAGATTGGGAGTAAAAAAAATGTTTGCCTTTTCTTGTTATTGGAAATATTATCACATATTACACTAAATACTTAAATATTTTTGTTATTCATGCAGACATTGTCTAAACATGATTTTTTCTTTCCCCTACTTGAACAGGAGGAAGAACCCAAGCCTCTAGCTGGTGTTGTTATATGTGTTAGTAAAAAACTTAGTAAGAGGCAAAGTGAACTGAATGCTATAGCAGCTTCTCTTGGTGCAGATTACAGGTATCAAACAATAAAGGACAACTTCTAAACTTCTGCACTGGTGGGAATTGAAATAAATATGAATCTTAGCATTCTAATACTCTTGTCTATGGGACCTGTTGCTATAGCTAAACTTTAAGTTTCATGATCTTAAATGATTTATGTCCAAAAATACAGCCACATGCCAATGCAAAATAAGTTATATTTTCTCTGTGTTTCTGATAAGTCCGTCTTGAGAAAACTTTATCCTGAAATCTACTAGTGTTGCAGAAAAATATTCTTTCCTTCTCTCTCTCTTTTTTTTTTTTAATGCAGAAGATACTAAAACTTTTGGTATTTGGGAAGTTTAAAATTGACTTTATATTTTAGATTTTGAATCTGATCTGAAAGTGTGTGTGTCTCTCTGGCTCAGAACTAATTATTTTACAGGTTGTGAACATGGATAAGTTCTGTGATTAGAGAAACTAAAAAGAATAGGTTGTTACTGAGAGGAACTACAAACTGTTTCCATAAGATAAAAGTGTTAATTTTTATGAGTTTACATTTTAGAATCCTATATTTTATTCTGAGCTTCATGGACTGGTATTCTAGTAGCAAGTCAGTATATCAGTAGAAGAAAAACATATAATAAACTGCTCACACTTATTTTTAGAAACTGATTTGGAACTTCATTTACTTAGTAAAACAAAAAGTAACAACAAATCAAAACCCCAAACTCTCTTTCATACCTTTGTCAGACTAAGTTTTGTTTACTTCAGGAATGCTTTCAGAAGAGATTGAAGGTGTTCTGTCCTGAAACTGAAAGTTGTCTTTCTTTTGTTATGGCTAAATAAATAATGAGCCCACTTTCTTCATTGAAGTAGGTATATTTCTAGGATCAACTGCTTATTCTTTTATATAGGTAATTATATCCTCAAGTTGTATTTCATTTTATTTTCTAGATGGTGTTTTGATGAAACAGTAACGCACTTCATCTACAAGGGAGGACAAAACGACAACAACAAGGAATATAGATCAGTTAAAGAACGAGGAATACATATTGTTTCAGAACACTGGCTTTTAGAGGTATGAAGCTTGTTTGCTTTTTTTCCCCTTCATATTAAAAGTGAACAGAAAAGAAGGCTTAAAACTCTTTAGATAGCAGTTGATTTTCTGTTGGAGTTTACATTGAGCATATACAGGAATTGATGTTTTACATTCTGCTTTGAATTTATAAATTGAACATTTTTTGCTGGCATTTCCCTTGTACTCTGTAAGGGATAAAGAAATTCTCTTCCATTCAGCAGTTCTGCTACATGTTTCCCAGAATGAAAGCTGCATTTTTCTCCTGTGTAAACTACTTCTTTCAGTGATCCTTTTCCTATACTTAAATATGGAACTTGTATTAATTTTCTGCAGTTTCTCATTTTTATAATATTAACTAATATTGTTACAGTGTGCCCAAGAATATAAACGGCTTCCTGAATCTCTCTTTCCTCACACTTACAATCCCAAAATGAGCTTGGACATCAGTGCAGTGCAAGATTTCAGGCCCTCCTCTTCCAGTAAGCTTCCACCCACTGGAAAACCAGCAGAAGAAAATGAGGTAGAGTGTGTGATAGAAATTCATGTTCTGTGGCATCATTGGAATTCAGTTCACATGGCTGTTATATTTAATGTAATAAATGAAGTTGATTCTTTATTCATTGGTATGCTGAAGCAGATTTCACTGGTAATTAATAGCAGCTATTGCAGATGCTACTTCATGCTTTTCCTGCATCTGTAATCCTCTTCTGGGACAATAGAGGCAAACACAGACATTTCAGGATTAGAAGTGCTTTCCACATCTGAAATAGTGTAGTCCATTCCTTGCCTTCTTTTTGAAGTGAACAAGAGGTCCTAGGCTAAGCTTGACTTAGTAGACCTATAGACTGCAGAGTAGGTGTTGTCATTGATGCTATTTTTCACTGTCTTACTGTTGTTGTGATGGCAGAAGGATTAGCTTGTTCTAAGGCAAGATTATTCTTCATCAGAAATTTCACAAGTGATGAACAAAGGTAAAAATAAAAGATGTGGTATTGAAGAATTCTACTTGTCTTTATTGGCTTTAGATTATTCCAGTGGATGAAGATGATGCTGAAGATGATTTAACTACTGACCAAATAAAGGAAACAGTTGGCACAGGAGAAGAGCACATTGGAATAAGTGAATCCAAGGGAGGTAAATATAAATTCCTGTTCTCAGAATAGTCACGTGATGTCTAACTGCCAGTGTAAGCTTTCTACAGTTTCAGGTGCTGAATGTTAAGATGTGAAAGTTTTAGCTACTGTATCTGTTTACCAGTCAAATACAACTAGCCATTGTTGCTCGATATGAGGGAGAGGTTTTGCTCTCTAGTATAAAGATCTTGCCAGCCCATAAAAAATAGGGTAATCCATTACAAATTATTTAGTTGCTATTTCTTTAAAAAAAAAAAAAAAGAAAAGAAAAAAAAAACCATCTGTTTGATTTTTAGCACAGAAAATCAGTATCGTATACATTTTTGTGTTAGGTAAAGAAATGTGTTATGGGAGAGTTGTGGAATATAAGGTAGGTCACATAAACAATTTCAGGAATGATCCAAATGGGATTTCTTGCTTGTGACAAGAAATGGGTGACTTCAGTCATACATCATTTTCCTAGATAGTCTTTCCCTCCTTGATTATATTACCTTCCTTCCTGATACAGGGGAAGAAATTGACTTGAATGGCTGTACTTTCCACTTACTGTAGTAATCTTGATCTTGTGGGCTTTGTTTATTCTCTTGAAGTTTTAACCCAGGCGCTGGAAATGAGGGAGAGCTTCCAGAGGCAGCTGCAGGAGATCATGTCTGCCACATCAATAGTGAAACCACAAGGACAAAGAGGATCCCTTTCAAGGAACAGTTTTGATAGTTCTCCAGCCACTCCTGATAGCGCACGGTCTGTGCGAAATGGCCGCAGCAGGGCCTTGGAAGCTCTAAGGTATTGATTTTCATTTCAGTGTATCTTATCTTGTCCTCTCTACTCAGACAATCACTGAAACATGAATAGATCTCCAGGGTTTTCAGTTGTACTGTCTTTCTGTTGTGATATACTTCATTTTCTTGTAATACAGAATCTTTAACAAGACTTGCTAGATAAAATCAGAGTATTATCTTAATCCTAAGATTACATATAAATGAGTATATTTGCTTTTCAAAAAATAGTAGAATATAATTGCTTTTTAATATTGAAATGATTTGTGCTAACCAACTAATTTGTCTTCAGGTTAGTTAGTGTTGTTAGAGATATCTGAAGAAAGCAGTGCTGCAGTATTTCAGTACGTCAGTCATATGCAAATAGTAGTTGTTCCTATAAAGCATTTTGTGAATATTTATCCTCTTTTCATTTCTCACAGTGAATAGGATTTTAGCTTCAACAGTGCTGAGCTCCAGTGAGAATGTAATTGAAATCTTGCAAAGTCATTCCTTTAGCTGTGAGTTTATTAGCAAATTAAAAGATTCAGTTAAGGGTAGAGTGCGCTGATTATGGAATAATTTATCAGTGTGACACATGGTGAAAATATTTCCTGCTTACATTTTGGTTGCCTTTTTTCAGCCACGCTGACCCTTAAACCTGCAAAGACAGATTGCCAAAGTTGCTTTTATACTGGAAGCTTCCACTTTTCTGGACATGCTTTCTAATAATGTCACTTGGATGTTATAGTTGATGTGATTGTTAAAACGTTACCTTCTGGTAACAGATAGTAGTCTGTTCTGTAAAAACAAAGGAATATTTAAAGTATCTGTGCTTTTTCTCTCAGGCAATCTCGTCAGGCTCTCACAGATATCAACACAGAGCCATCCCAGAGTGAGCAGATCATCTGGGATGATCCTACAGCAAGGGAGGAGAGAGCGAGACTCGTCAGTAACTTTCAGTGGCCTAACAGTCCTTCCCAGTACACAGAGCAAGCTCAGAGTAACGTTAATAGGAACATGGATGAGTCTACCTTCAAAGGGTCCATAGCTGATGCAGAGATTGCTGGTATAGGTAAAATGAAATCTGAAATAAAGTACCATTTTTCTTTGTTACAGCATCGGGTTGATCCTTGGGGATTTTAAAATAAGATAATGCTTAAATTTTACTTCAAAAATACAAAAAACTTAGAGAGTGAACATCGTTGGCATTTCTTGAATGTAAAATTATACTTTTTTCATATTTGAGCTCCACTATGTGTTGCTGTTTCTTAAAAAAAAAAAAAAAAAAAAAAAAATCTTTCATAAATATTTGCCATCTGTGGTCAAACACCAAGGCAGCGTTTTTCTGAAAATAATCTGTATCAACTTTAGAAAATATCTTCCACAATTTTATTTGGATCCTCAGCTAGCTTCCAACTAACAAGTCAGGTAGATGCAGTGGAATTCAAATAGAAATATTAGTAGTAGAATGTTTTTAATATTAGTAGGTGAAGAGTAAAGGAACAGAAAGAAGGTAATTGAGAGCGCCGAAAACAGTATCTCAGAGCTGCTTATGAATTTGCTTCAGTTATGATTTAGTCAAGATACTGTGTTTATCTTTCATATTATTTCTGAAGTCTTAATCTTCTGCTGGGACTAAGCAGGACTAAAGCAACACGTTTAAGGTTTTTCATCCATTTTGACTTTTGCCACCTCCAGACAGATAGCAGAATCATTTATTTCTCAGCCCATTGCCACCTCCTCACATCCTCCAACAATCTAATTTGTAGAGATTCTTCTTCTGAAGAATTTCCACTGAAAACTAATGCTGTTCTAGAGGAGGTTGAAGAAAATTAGATACATTCAGGGTTTTTTTTCTTTTTTTTTGGTTTAACTGAGCAAGTACATTTAGCAAAAGAAATTAGGCCGTTTGAGGTTTTTCTGCTTTTCAAAACAAGGCATTCAGAGACATAGTCTGTAAGGTTCAATTGGTGATCTGTGGTATAAGGAAGAGCACCTTTCAAGAAGGGCAGTATTGACATGTTAACTGTGCATTTTGTAGCACCCTTTTAGGATAACTGCTTTTGTACTTTATCCATAATTATATTCAGCCAAGGACAAGTCTGGTAACAGTGTTTTACTTCCTCAGTTGTTCCTGAGGCCGGAGATGGAGATACGATTGAAGATCTGAAGAATCTTGTATGTAGAGATCCTGAAACGCCCATTAAAGATCACTTGATCCCAACTCCGCAGGCTCCCAGCATTGCATTCCCACTGGCTAACCCTCCTGTGGCACCACAGCCCAAAGAAAAGGTTTGACATTTTGAAGAAATGCTCATGATTGTAATGTGTCCTAAAAGTGTAGCTATACTTTAAGGGCTGCTGTGAAAGTAATGCCTCCTGTATTATTATGGTTGCCCATAACACCAGAGGCAGATGTCGATGGTATGGCAATAGAGGTTAAATGTTCCCAACAGTATTCCATTACATGTTGTTGCCATGTGACAGATGGCAGTAGGGGTGCAGTCTGACAAAATGGTGTCTGATATGCAAGTGCATCTGAAGCAAAGGTGTGGCATTGAATTCCTCCATGTGGAAAAAATGGCACCCATTGACATTCATCAGTGCTTGCTGAATGCTTGTGGAGACCAAACAGTGGATGTGAGCACAGTGAGTTGGTGGGTGGTGCATTTCAGCAGTGGCAACAGCATCCACATGAAATACACTGAGAGGAGCCCTATGGAGGAGGAGTTGGAGGTCCTGGTGAATGAAAAGCTGGACATGAGCTAGCAGTGTGTGCTTGCAGCCTGGGATGCCATCTGTATCCTGGTGACCAGCAGGACGAGGGAGGTGATTGTTCTCCTCTGCCTTTCTGAGGCCCCATCTGGAGTACTTCATCTAGGCCTGGGGCCCCTGGCACAGAAAAGACATGGAAGTGACAGAGCTGGTCCTAAAGAAGCCATGAAAATGATCAGAGATCTGAAGCACCTCTCTTATGAAGATAGGCTGAAGGAGCTGGGCTTGCTTAGCCTGGAGAAGAGAAGGCTCCAGGGAGACCTCATTGCAGCCTTTTGCTGCTCTATGGGTGCTTATAAGCAGGAGGGAGAACTCTAGGCATGTTTGGATGATGGAAAAATGTTAGGCCTGTATTTTGCAGATGGTATCTGGAATTCAGGCTTTAATGCAAACTGCTTATCTTTGTTCTGGACATAAACCTGGTTCAGAAATTTAATGTTGTGTAGTGAACTTGAAAGTAAATAGGAAAATGAGTTTAGGCTTTTGCCTTCAGTGTATCATTTGACGCTCCAACTTCTAGCATCAACCATTTCTTCAGAGGGCTGAAGTGTCATGTTAATGAATAAACTGTGGTGGAAATATATAGGTGGCCTTGGTATTTAAAGAAAGCCTGGATGGATGAGGCAATGTGATAGATGGATGATGGTTGCTTCATGTTTTCAGCTTGGCATTCAGTAAATATGGATTAGTTTTTATAACAGATTTGTTCAGTTCTGCCCTAAAAAAAGGGGCAACCAAGAGGATGTTAAGCAGGAGCTTAATGTTGATTTGATAAGATCCAGCTTTTGTCAAGCGATTGACAGATTTGGTTCTTCTTTTCCATGCTAAAAGAAAACTTAACATAAAATTAACTCAGGATTGCTTGCAGGGAAACAGTCAACTGTCAAACTAATCTTTCTGTAATATTTCCAAAATCTGTTGCTATATTTACAGGCTGTTAAAGAAGATGAGAAGGTAGATGAAGAACCAGAAAAATGCCATAAATTTCAGCTATCTTCTCTTAATCCTCAAGAAAGATTTGACTACTGCCATCTGATTGAGGAATTAGGTACCAGATATTTGTGAAATGCATGCAATAGTGTGTGTTGTAAGCTGGGAAAAGAAAGGGCTTCTGTTAGTGACTCATCAGCTCAGAAGTCTCAAATTTATGGTTTTCTGTGAGCAATTCCTTGAATATATTATTATTATGTGAGTGATCAGCTTTGCCATAAAACAGCAATGGTTTTGTATTCTGGCAGCTTCTTTTAGCTGTCTCCACAACAGCCCCATTCTTTACTGTTGGAGTGTCTAGAATCTGCCGTTCTCTGGTGTCTCCCATTCCTGTTTCTGTTACACTACCACTTTTTTTCTTTTCCCAGAGTTCCTCTTTCCTTGCCAGCTTCTCCCTCATCACTTCAATCAATCATAATATTTCAGTGTAAATCTGAGATTTTTAAAAAAATTCAAATAGTTCTCACTTTGAATGATCTTTCTGTGGTACAGCCTGAACTCTAAATAACTTGAATTGTATTAAATCCTCAATTCCAAGGCGGAATAGTACTTGAGAAACAGTGCTTTGATCCAAGTTGCACACACATTGTTGTGGGACATCCTCTTCGAAATGAGAAATTCCTGGCCTCGATGGCAGCTGGAAAGTGGGTGCTTCATCGTTCCTACCTGGAGGCATGTAGAGGAGCTGGCTGCTTTGTTCAGGCATGTAATCTTGTTATTGAGAAACTAGAATGTTGCACTTTGTTAATGTCTTGAGTGGCTGAACATTGGGATTTTTAGAGGCTCCAGCATCTCAGAAACTTTGGCAAGCTCATCTCTGAAAATAGGTTCCTGACCAAACTTGTGGGAAGTTTTTATGCATGGCCATGATAATTACATGCATTTAAGAGACATATCTCTAATTTTATCAGGAGCTGTTTTGCTCAGATAAAATTGCTGCACAGAATTACACTGAGTTGTGATTTGTTCCGGATGTTTTTTTTTTATTATTTATCTTTCTGCTAGCAAAGTTGACAAGACTTCTTTGTAATTCATGCCTCTGATTATTCTAGGAAGAAGATTATGAGTGGGGAAGTGATTCCATACTTAATGTTTTGCCTGGGATCAATGTAAACCAGAAGAAGCTAGCGCTTGCAGCCCTGAGGTGGAGGAAAAAAATTCATAAAGGAAGGCAAGAAACTGGAATTACTGAGGTATTAAGATGTGTGTTGGATGTAAGGTGTACAGTGTGGATGGCCAAGACAGGGTTTGTCACTGAGAAACCCAGAAATTTCTCTGGCAGGAAAAGTGAATCTGTCTTACTAAGAACAAAATGGCTTAGCTGGATATCTTCTAGTTAGTTAAGTAACCTTTTAGTGCTGATCTGTTACATCCTAATCTATTCCTGAACCACCCACTGGTCATGCTTTTTGCAGAGCTAGACAGGTGGTTACCGATGTATGTAAGCATAATTCAGCCATTAAGATGCCTTTGTTTGTGCTTCTGAGCTCTAGCTGGGGTTCTCCCTTGGTTTTACCAGAAAACCATGGCTGGTGCTGGCAGTAACTCTGAGAAATCCCTGCTGTGCCATACAGGTGAATAGAGCTCACTGGACAGCATTTTCCTGTATCTAGCAGTGGGTGTAATACTGTACTTCAGATAAGGCAGCAGTTGACATCTCTCCCAAAGCACCTTCTCTGATTGTCACACAGTGCGAGTTCCGTAGTGTTTCTGTGATATTTTTGAAGGTGGAACCAGAGCTCACCAAGTTCTCGTAGCTGCTCTCTCCAACCAGACACAGAAGTATTCACTGAAAGCTGGAAATACTGCCAATGTCTCAACTGCATCAGTGTAACTCACGTGTATTTTATAACCTCCTTTAAATGAGTGTTAGTGAGAGAAATGATGTCCCTTGCCTATTTGGAAATATATTGACCCTAAGTGCTCTTACTCAGCTTTGTAGCTCATTTTGAGTATGTAGTAGAGTACACAGGTTTTCTTAAGATGTTTGTTTCTTGTTGGTGTTGCAAGTGTTCTGAATAGAATGGTTTGCCCACCTTCCATGCAGGTGGAATGGCGTGGTGGAAAGCTGGTGGAGTGTGTGGTGTTTGCCTGATAGTTCTACACTGTACTTTTTTTCTGCCTTTTACAATTTAAAAAGACAAAACCAGATGATAGCAAATGTTTGTCTGATAGGTACACCTGAAAGAGGCAAGTGAGGGATCTGTGAACATCATTATGGCTAAATGGAGTCTTTTATCTAGGGAGCGTTCAGTGGCTGGAAAGTGATCCTGAATGTTGATCACACCAAGGAAGCCGGATTCCGACGCCTTCTTCAGTCAGGAGGAGCAAAAGTATGTAGCTTTCTGGGAAAAAGAAAGTACACATTACTGTTTTTTTGGTTTTTTTTTATCTTCTGTTGTTGTTTTGTTGAGTGTTCATTGTTACTTTTTAAGGTATTGGTATAATTTCTTAAACTCTGTGCTGGGTATTGTCCATGCTAATGGTAGGGCCTAGCCAAAATTGCTCAGGCTGCTGAGCACAGAATTTGTGGGCCCTCCTCTGATGAGAAGATTGGCCTTGAAAGGTAAAGATGGTACAGGAATGCACAGTAAATAGTATTTTGTTTTGTGTTGGCTTGATAGTTGAGTGTGAGTTTATAGGTCATGAGCTGCAAAAATTAATAGCTTTTGTCTCTCGTGTTTTAATCTGTAGGTGTTTTCTGGTCATTCTGTGTCTTTCTTCAAAGAAGCAACTCATCTCTTTGCTGACTTCAGTAAGCTGAGGCCAGATGACACCAGGGTGAACGTAGCAGAGGCGGCAGCCCAGGGAGTGAACTGCTTGAAGCCAGAGTACATTGCAGACTTCCTCATCCAGGTGCGTGCTGTGCAGGCAGGACAGAGCAGGCCCATCACCTCCAGCAGGTCAATAGGAGCCTCTGCCAGAGCAGGGAGCTTGCAAAATATTCAAGATGTGCATGTGCAATGTTCATTTTATTAATTTACATCTTAGAAAACAACTGAGCAATTTCTTTAGTCTCAGAAGATCCTCCTTGAGCTAAGCAACTTTTTTTCCCCTTCCTCTATTGAAGGATCCGCCTCCCCCAATGGAGTCTTACTGCCTGCCAGAAGCTGAGCATTGCTTCCAGAACAGCAAAGAACTTGGGACTGGATTATCCCAGAAAAGAAAAGCACCGGAAGAAACGAGCAGAGTCAAGCGATCCAGAATGCACTGAGAAAGTTCTGTGCTTTTAATTTGTACATTTTATATATTCGTATTTATATTTTTTCATCCTCACCACAAAAATTAAAAGCTTTGAATCTCACTTCTAATTTGTCCTGAGATTAAAATAAGTTTACAGTAATATTCATAGGGAAGATCTCTTTCATTACCGGTGCTGTTAATGATTTGGTTTAGGGACAGCATTGTATAATAAATAAATACTTTGAGATGCTTAGCACAACTTTATGTCTGTGTAGTAGGGAAAACACCACTTGATAAGAAAGCCATTGCCGTGGATGGTCATTCCAGTAATGGACTTATATGTTGAGTATTTCCTGTTGGTTTTGCCCCAAGAGAAAATACCAAAAGAGAAACTGGATTTAAAACAGACAAACAGCTTATAAATTTTAATAGTAAATTAATTATTCTATAAAAAACTTCAAGTTTTTGCCATTCCAAGTACTACCAAATGTGTTAATGAATGCCAGTTGTACCACTTGCTTTGGGGTCACATACTGAAGATAATGCTGTTTACTGATACCTTAAATACCACAGTTTGGAATTAACTTTGCATTTCACTGGTGATGTTGCTTTGGGTTTTTATATAGGTAATGGGTATTAGGAGACAAGACCCAAGAGGATGTAGGGTATTTTTTTGGTTGTTTATTTTTTCTCCTCTGCCCTCAGAAAATGCTGCTATGGAAGGGTAGTGCTACTATTCACATTTCACAGCTAAGCTTCAGAGATGTCCGGAAGCCACACAAGTCCTGTGAGTACTGTAACACCTGGGGGCTGGACAGAAGGGCAGACTTGGTACAGTGGGCTTCTAAGTTTGAATAGCTCTCCAGCTATTTCTTCAGCACTCTTTTGAAGATTTGTACAGCTGCTGACAGTGCCCAAGTGGACACCTGCAATGCAAGGAGCCTGGGCTGTCACTTAGGCAGGGCACAAGTGAAGCAAAGAGGACAGCAAGAGAATTTCTGTCCCACATCTTGAACACCACATGACAGCATGCTGCTGTCAAGTCACAGGTGCCTGCTGTCATTGCTTGGAGTCACTGGACAGATGAACACAGACAAACCTGGAAGTTTAAATTCAGTTGCTGCTGTTAAGATAAATTTATTTTCTTCAGCTTTCTTTACAGGAAACATCACAAAAGTGCTTTACAGAGTTTGATACCATTACTCTAACATGAGACAAAAGTAAAACAGAGGTGCGCACTGCACAGTCAGAAGTTGGCATATGCAGAAACCATGAGAGGGAAACCAGGGTAAAAAAAACTACTGCCAAAAATATATATGTATATATATATATAGCTTAGGTTTTGAACTTAAATTATTACTATAAAGATATATAAATATACAGGCACCAGTAGGTTCCTGTGTTAACTGTGAGGGGCCACACAGTGATAGTCTTGTATTCCCCTGTGCTGGACGGGCTCCTGGCCAACCCTTTTCCCAGCCAGACAGTATCCTCCTTTCTTTTGTACTGCTGTAAGAACTCAAGGGGCTTTATCTTTGTTACTTCAGGTTGGCTGTAGTGCTGAAGTTTTCCTGTACATTGCTGAAAGTAAATTTAATTTCATATTTTCATTTATAGAGATGTCCTCTTTGCTGTGTCGTCTTGTTATTGAACCAAACCAAACACACCCTCTAGGCTGGACCACGCTCCTACTGCCCAGATGAGGCAGTTGTGCTTGAACTAACAAGTTACCAGTCACGTAACTCCATTCCTTCTCATAGCTCATCTGTTTTACTGCAACAAGTGCTACTCCTTTCATTTTGCTGCATTATGTTGGAGTGAGCTGTCATGGATCTTGACATCTTGAGCGTTTGAGGATCTTGACATCAATTCTTCAGGATTCAAGAATATCATATTTACTTACTGAACATTTTGCAGCAGCAGCTGTGTACGTGGTGCTAGAGCCTAGATTGGTGATGTACAGCATGATCCTGACTCACGAGTTCTTGCTTACAGAACTGCTCTCTCAGTAAATGGTCAATGAGGTACCTGGCTCAAGATCCTTGGCAGGGTAATAATACAGCTGAACAAAAGAAGGGAATATCGTAGTGAAGAAAGGTCAAATACTTGAGAGTGGCACTACGGTTTGAGCTGCAAGAAAGCAAATGTCTAAAAAACAGCCATGCCAGCTTACAAAGCCAGTTTGCCTTCTACCTAAATTCCCAGACTAAAGATGCAGTGCAACCAGCAAGAGCTCGTCAGCCCTGAGGGATACAGAGTGGTTAAGTAACACAAGAGGCATAGGGCCAACACAAGGGCAGCAGCACAGCTACATCTTTTAGAATGTGTAGGAAAGACCCTTAAGAACTGTGTTGTGATCTTCCTCTGCTTTCTAACTGGAATTGGTGGCGGGATGGGAGAAAAACCTCACCTCCACCCTACAGATTTGATAGAGTCCCCAGCAGCCACTATTCTAAGCACTACAGGTAGAACACCTAACATAAGGTATCATCCTCTCAACCACAGATCATTGCTAATAGCAGAAAGCAGCTGTTTTATATGACATAATATTCCAACACTGAAAGAGTACAGCTCCTAAGAGGCAAGCATACATCCAGACAGTCTGAGTCTTCTTTCATCATACCACCTTCACTCTATTCTTAACTAACTGTTGCATTCCTGGTAAATCAATTAGTACTTAAAGACTGAGACCTTACTTATAGTTGTATGACATTTAACCTACAAGGTGAGCACATAAAGAGATGAAACAAGCCACAACAACTAAGCCTGCCCCTGTATTGCTGCACTACCTTCATGTGAAATATAATCTAATTTCAGTGTCCAGTTAAGTACTGCACGGGGTTGCATTAGAGCAGGCATGCCTGAGCACTCGCTGGTCAAAGCAAGGAATGAATATGCTTGCTTCATCTCTGCCATGAACAAAGGAAAGAGTAACACAGAAATTTAAGTTTGCCATGGGCTTTGCTCTCTTGTGCTGGGTTCTGGCTGCTGTGAGATCTCAAACCAAGTTTTAATGAAACTGAGCCCAACCAACAGCAATACAGAGCAACTCTACTGAAACCCATGAATTTATGCTCCTGGAGATCAGAGTAACATACATTTTACCTGCTTAGCAATGTCTTTGCTCTCATTTAGCAGCCGTATTTATGGTTTGAATCATTTTGTTATTGTTGTGCATATTCTGAAAGAGATACAGAACAAATGGTTTCTTTAAAAGAAAATGCAACAACATTTTAACTAATGCTCCTCTGTAGGTACAGTATTTGAAATAAAGCAGACAATTACAGCTTGATGACTTCAGTGCTGTAACAACTGAGCTAGAAAGAAAATGTCTATATAGAAGGTAGACAAGAAAAGGTCAGATTGAGTAAAAGACATGAGCAAGTCATGCTTGTCACTGATAAGAACAGTGGATTACATACATGACACTGAAGACTTCTGTATATATGATGGCAAAATCCAATGCCCATAGAAAATTAATAGGTTTGTCAGCATTAGGGAAAGTGGTGATTGCCAGGATAAGCTAACTTGTAAACCTGGCAAAGAGCAGCAAACGTCAACAGGAAAAACAAAAGGCAATGAGTAGTGGAAAGGCTTTAAACCACTTACACATGCTCTGGTGGGTTCTGATTAGTTGTGATCTTTCAAGGGGACGATCTAGGCATCGCCATGGCAGCTTGATGAAGACATCTACTCAATGTGCAGTCAAGAAAGCAAACAGAACAGTATGGAAAAATATTACAGCATAAATTTCAGCTGGGAGAGGCAGTAAGAACAAGGCAGCTTATTTGTAAAGGGAAAGAACAGATGATGATAGTCTTAGAATTCTCCTACCTACCATATAACAGGAGGGTAAAGTGGCCTCAAGGCCACTTTAAGCCTGTTACCAGTCTGTTGACCTCACTGCTGCATGAAAAATACCACTCATCATCACCCTAAATGCATAAAAAATCCTCCTACGTTTCGCTTTAGCATTCATCATTCAGCTAGTAGAACATCCCCTCCAAAGGAACTGCAGTAGTCTGTTGAAATCTAACAGTAATCACTTCTGACACAGAATCATCACTGCTGATACACATTAACAACTGTCTTACAGGTGCCATAATGATAAAAACATCAGTAAGAGAAATAGCTGCTGGGCCTCATCTCTCTCTGTACAGTCCCACCAGAGGTCTGATTTGCCAGCACACATGCCACCATTATGTTCTCTACTGCTATTTGGAGCCCTGCTGTAAAAGCTGAGCAATGAACCTTGAAATCACCCACAGGCAAAGGCATATTCATAACAACTATTTCTTCATGCTCCTCCCACTGCACTTAACTGCTAGAACAGCAGAAATAGTAAATAAAGCAAGCGTCTCTTCTGCATCTGTATTCCTCTCCCTTCCTAGCTCCTCCTCTGCTTACTCCCAGTTCTGAACCACATCACCCTGCATCCTGACACAGCTACATGCTTTCCGGAGTGAACAGCTCTAGTTTCTAGCAATTTGAGCAAGCCTTACAACAGCCACATGACAAGAGACGGCTCTGAGCAGAACTTTATTTCAGCCACGGGTTTACAAAATACAGCAATGCTGATTTTGATGTATTCCATGTAAAAACAGAAAGCCTTATATTAAGACACCATTTGGGTTGCACAGTTAACCAGAGAGGAAATGCCTGTTAGGGCAAGGTTCAGGCTGAGCACTCTGACCATGCTTATTAAAATAACCATCTAATTATGTAATACTTGACTAGAGCATGGGTTACATTCTGCAAAAATAAGTTCTCTCCGGAGTAGCATGAAATACTCTAACAAAAGCTAATGCAAGGATGTTTTTATAACAATTTTCAGTCCTTCTGCAGCACCAGGACTTCCTCTAAGAACACCTCTGGCCTCACAGCACTCTTGTGAGGTATTTTTTGCACAGCTGGGGAAGCTGAGGCAAAGTGAAACCAAGTTACTCCAAGTTAACACAGCAGCTCAGAGGGAAACCAAGGCCAAACCAAGCCCCACTCTTTTGGCCCTGCGCTCTGGCTACAGAACATTTGCTTCTTTTCACTTCATAAGGTTGTATGATGATGATAGGTTTCCATTCCTGCTTTTGAGATGCACTTTTTCTGATGATTTATTAATACTACGGTGCATTTTTAATACTTATATGAAAGCTTGCTTCCTAATAAGACCTTTGTACTATCTTGGAATTTGTCTTTTCCTGGTTCTCTTTCTAGGTAAGTGGTTACACACAGCCTCATACCAAGGCTAAACTCCACCCTCTCTCTAGGCAGAAAGAAACAGGACGCCCTCTCGAACTACTGAACTTCAAATACTTCTGTTGAGTTACAGGGATTCGTCACTTCTGAAAGCAGTGCTGATCTCTGCAGCACTGTCCCTCCTACCCAAGAGCTCACGCTCCGTTCCCTGCCTCCTGCTGTGCATTCAGTACTGCCACGTAGCATAAAGCCTCCCTGTTCCTTCCCATTTATCTCCTGGTGTTATACTTAATTTCCATCTTCTCCTTATTAATAAGATTATTTTCTATTCTGCTTCGCACAGAACACGGCAAAGCTACATCTGTGCTTTAGAAGCCAAGCTATAATACACAAAAATTACCTTAACCCAAACCAGTTCTGTCGTCTTTTCTTTTCCCATCTGCTACAGCTTGCAGCTTCTTATGTTATATCCAGACTAAAATGACTTTTTGTTTTTTCCTGAATAATGTACTGGCAAACACACCAGATTTTCTGTCCCCTTTTACACACTTGCTTTCTGAATCCAAAAACCACATGCAAGTCTAACACTGCTTGAGCAGAGTTAAATATATTTATTGTAAAAGCAAACTCCATCATGTGAAGTCTTATCAATTTTGCATCATCCCCCTGACCTAAACTGCATACAAACCTCTGCCTTGTTGTGGTGAAAAATCGACAGATGGAGTCAAACACCAAAAAAACCCTCAGCCCTTATAACATCAGATTTCTAACACAATTTGTGCTTTTAGTAACTCAGCTATTCCTATGTTTAAGAGTAACCTTGGACGTGATGCTACAGCTAACTGCAAAGACATAACTGAGGCAGCAGGAGATGGCCACTTCTCACCAGCTCCCTTTACCAGTGGGTAAGATAAAGCACAACTGAACCAGTGAGGGGCAAAGTAGGGGCAACAACAAAACTGATCCTCTCCTCCATTTCTCATTAGCTCAAGCACATACATATGCCAGATTCCTACAACAGGCACTTGGGAAATCCAACTTTTTGTTTTGCTTTTTTTTTTTTTTTTTTTTTAAGTGGCAAAAGCTAGGCAATCTAAGCACTGCAACACCAAGAACCACAGATGTGAACTGCTCCTTTCCCAATAAGTAACACATGTATACATGTTCTCCTACCAGGCTGCAAATTTTATGGCCTTAATAAGTTACAAAGCCTATCGTTTAAAGGAAAAAACAACAACAACAAAAAGTAACATCAAACATTCAAAATGGACATTAATAATCCACTACTAAAGCATGTTACATGTTATGAAGTTCCTGAAGCGCTACACAACACTTTACAACTGGTATTAAGCAGCTCACATTTACAACTGACAATCCTTCATTTATAGCAGAAGCCTTCCAGAAGCACTGTGAAGGAATGAAACTGGCATTTTTTGCATGCCTCCAATGAATGCATCAACAAAGCAGAAAGTGGGTTTTCCTCAGTCTCAAAAGCACACTGTGCTTCTAGAGTACTGACTTTCAAAGCTTTAGGAATGCAGAGGAGCTAATTGTTACAAGGAAGATACTGACAACTGGCATTTTGATAGCTGCTAGCGATGGTGTTTAACACAAGAAAATATTTAACACAAGAAACACTAAAGGAGCCTAACATTCTGTACTGCAGAAATCTGCTGCGCTTTTTTTTTCTTCCCCCCTTTTATGCCTCCAGAAGGAATCTGGAATGATATGCTTAAGACCCCCAAAATAGTTCTCAGTAGCAGATGGACTCCTGTGAGGCTGCTGAACAGCAGCAAAACGAGGCTTTTCATTCCTTAGTTTAGCAAAGCCAGCTTAAGTGAAAAGCACAAAGCATCATTCACATTCAATTCAGTCTCAGAACAGCACTATGCAGTGGCAGTCAGAAGACACTGACAGGTGGCCAACTTAAAATTCATCTTGATGTGCATTGCTGTAAGCTGCTGGACGTGGCACACCTGAGCAGAACGCTGACTACCCACTGTATGGTTTGCTCCTTAAGAGATCCAAACGCAACATGCTCGCTCAGCTGTAACAGGGTTATAAGCTAGAACTGAAGGTAAAGATTCATTCCACTCCAGAATCCATGTATATTTCCATTTTATTTCATTTTAAGCTGTTACAGGGTTTTTTTTAAACTGCCAGAGGTTATGCCCAAAAACTCAAAGATGGTACAATGGACAGTCTCATCTACCCTTCGTACAGTAGATTAGAACTTGATTCATGTGCATTGGCGACTTCAATCGCTTTAGAGAATCAGGAAAAATGTTTTAAGATTTCACATTTCTACCACATCAAGTGACGTGCCCATTTACCATGAATTCCACAGAAATCTTGAGTGACACATCAACAGTTTTGCTGGCAACAAGGTATTTCCAAGGAAATACATGGCTAAGAGCTCAAGGTATTGGTACCAGTCTTTCAGCCGGGTGGTTTCCAAAGTCTGACTGAAAAGAGTCTCTCGAGCCCTCTCTTTAATAGCAGCTTCTAGCAGAAATTTTAAAGACTTAACTTTGCAAGAGCAAAGCCAATTTTAGTCTGTGCGCAGAAGAACCAGGTGAAACCCTGCCCACCAAAGTCAACAGCAAAATTCCCATTGGCCTCAGAGAAGTAAATTTAAAGCAAGTCAGCAGTTAGACAAAAGGAACCCAACTATGCACAATTCCCATACTATCATCATCCTCTGCAAATGCACAGTATTCCCACACAAGCAAGCAAGTTTGGGTTTGTTCCCTTGTTTCTCTTGCCATTGTGGCAAGTGGCAACACTTAGAGATGTTGGGTTTTTTTTTTTTGGCATTTACTCTGAGAAACATCAACACTGGAGCATGCCACTATCATACTTCATTTTCCTTCTGGCATAAGAAGAGAAAAAGTTACAGCAGAACACTTTTGGTACACATCAGGTTTTGCTGACTGAACCAGTTATGGGCAATGTCCTGTACTCTTAGTGTATCAGTGCCATTTTGCCTACCTTCACTAAATTAATTCAGAAATGACAGCGACTTAAAGAAGTCACTGCCTTCTGTTCTCACCCAACATTCTGATTTTATTAAATACCATTTATGAGTTTTACTTTGAGGATTTCTGCCTCAAAAAGCCTGCAGGCTTTACCAAACTAGTCAAGCAAATAAGGCGTATCAAGCGTAAGTCATCCCTCCGTACAACAAGTTATTTGGTTATTAAGTAACCACTGCCCTTTAACAGACAAATACCCATTCTTAACAAAGGATAATTCATTTACTTTCATCTGGTATTACTATTGCCATGTATCTCACATTTTTTAAGATGACAAATTCAAAAGACTGCAGTTGGAGTCTGGATACCTCTGTGTCAAATCAAAACCCTTAGTGCCTTAGGGTGAGAAAAACAAACTTCATGATAAAAAACAAAATAAACCCTATTTCACTATAATATTTCACTGTCATTTAAATACACTGTAATTTGATATCAGAAACAAGGAAGGCATTTTTTTTTTTGGTGGAAAATAGAAAAAAATGCTTAAACAGACAACTGTGAAAATGGCTAATACAAACAGACCATTCAAACCCATCAATCTTCCAATCTGATACTGAATGAGTTTTAATTTGTTTCGCCGTTGCTTCAGTACAGCTATCTAAAAAGGTAAACAAACTACAGCTCTGTGTTATACTTGGGTAGCACGGGTGGTACGGTATGCTCCAGAAGTCCCTGGTAGGCTATGGCTACACATGACAGGATTCCTCGGAAGGGGAACAGGATAGGTTTTGCGTTAAGGTCACTTAAATCTTTGTTATAGCAAATTGGAACCAAATGGCTGACTTCTGCAGGATTTCTGACAGGAATCCAGTAGAGCTGGTTTCAAGTTTCAGATGGCCACTAAAACAGCTGTAACCTTCTCTTCCAGAAGTTATGATCCACATGGTGTCCACAATGAGTGCAGCAAGTCTGAGGTAGTCAACCTTTACGAAGGCTCAGTATCTGAACATAAAAAGATTTTGAAATGACCACTGGCTGTAGGTATCTTTCTGAGCAATTAAAGAACACCGATGACTCTTGTTCAATCATTTACATTAAATTTGCCCCATATCCAATGGAGAAGTTGTAACATACTCTTCCATAGTGCAGGAGAACCGATCACTTATGTCAAAGTATTCTGCACTTGCTGCAGTAGATCCAGCAGAAATAAGGTGGCATGTTCATCATAGCCGTTAGCTGTAGTTTAGTTACCTTAGTAGAAGGGTTACCAAAAAAGCATTCCTTAATTGTAATGTGTATGCAGCTCTACTGATCCCCAAGCACAGCATACTGGTTGTCTAGCTGAAGTTTAAGTGCCTGGTTTTTTGAGACCTCATCCCTACCTCTAGTTTTGTGTTTTACTACTTCAAAGCTCTTCTCCATTTCTTTATCCCTACGGGAAAATAAACGTAATCAGTAAGTATCACTAGCTTGTAAATTTCTAGTTGATTTCCACCCCATTCCAACAAAAACATTATAATATAAACAGAAAACACTAAGGTCTAGAATTTTAACAGAATAGACAAACATTCCCAAGCAAATCTTGTAAAACCTGTTCGCTACAATCAAGTTTACCTTCAAGTGCAATTCAGGTTACACTATACATTTCAATATTAAAGTTCTTTAAAATAAATTCAAGTATATTTACGAAACATAATGTTTTGAAAGCAGAAACCCATTCAATTCCCGGAATATTCAAAATTTCCACCTTTGCCCAATTTGCATCACTCAAGCCCTAATGCACAGCACATCTCATTTGCCAAGTAGACAAAGTCACACCAAAACCAGAAAGAAACAGCTCCAGCTAGGCTGTGTTGATTAATACCACATCGAGAAGTCAAAATACCAAGCAAATGAAATAAATATCAGGCTATTTATCTTCTAACCTAAGTTACCTTCACATCCCTGATGGGAAGGAAGCATGATTGGGACATTCTAATTGTTTTTCTGACAAGTGATAACAAAGATCCTCATCGCAGCTAGCATCTAATGAAATCAGTTGCTGTCAAGAGCAAAAACATTCTACTTGGAAAAATCCCCCAGTAAGTCAACTAAATAGCTGGGAATCTTGTTTGGCTCTCTTACTGGGTATCATCCTATGCAAGTTATTTCAAAGGAAGCCCTTTCTATAGTTAGAAAAGACAGTTAAGACCTTTCCCATCTCTTTGCCAAAGAGACTGATTTTTTTGGTTCCTTCTCTGTGGAAAGATTTGGGCTTAATCCTTGTAGCAACATAAAACAGAGGTAAAAATATTTCTCTCAAGGAATTAATGCAACGTACTTACTTTCGACTGTCTACAAGCTTAGCAGTAGACTGCAGTGATGGGAACTGTGTATCACTATAGATTTCAGGTGGTCCTTGCTGTGCCCTCCGAGGCCTGCCGCCCTCTCTGGCGCCGGGCGGCCTGTATACACCGCCAGTCTGAACTGGCTCTGGGGGTTCTGTAACTAGTTATAGGAGCAAATGGAGACAAGAGGGTAAGTTTGCATTCATCATGAAAAAACCACCAAGAAAAAAATGCCAACCCCCCCCCCACCACACACACACAGAAAGAAGAACCTTACAAGTATGTCACTGCATTTTTTTAAAAACTTGGGAAGCAAATATTCCAGATAAGGCAGGAAAAAACACATCACCTAATTTTATCTATACTCAGTAGTTGAACTGAAATGCAGCTTTGGCATTTTGCTTCCCGAAGGTCAGAGCCTCAATCCTCTAAGAATACATTTGTTTGTTTGCAATTTATTAGCAGCTTGCATTTAAAACTTGAGGTCTAAACATGTAATTACATGCTTGCCAGATGTCATTTACAACACCTCTCCATATACTGAAAGGAACACTCAAGTAGTTTACATTTAAAGTAAAGCCTACATTAACACATTTTCTTTCTCCTTCTACAGGTACAGAAACAGACACACATCCACTGATACTAAGAACTGAATTTAAACAAAAGTCCTCTCCCAGTAAAATAACTCATTTTGCAATGTCATATTCTGTGTATCCTAGATCTGATTTGAAAGAACAACAATATGCTACTAATGATTGAGCCCTACTCAGAAAATGACACACTAAACATCAGACATGGGCTGAACGCCCACTTTTCACCAAAGCAATATTTTTTGACCCACTGAAATGCTTCAAACTCATTTTTTGCAAATTATGAAGTAGAGGGAATTAATTTAAAAATAATTAAAAATGAGATGCTTTCCATCCTCCCCACTTTGAAGCCTGAAATAAAAAAGACAGCTGCCACGTTTACTGTAATTATCTGACAGCTTCATCAACTCTGTTCCTCAGAAGCCCTCACAGGAATAGGAACTACTCCTTGTACTCTGCCTTCTCAGTAGCTTAATTCTGACTGGTACGATCAACAACAGAGTCATATTTACCAATTGTTTCAACAACAGGTGCTGGTGCAGGAGCTGACTTGTTCCAAGGACCAGATGATCTGTCTACAGCACCACTGGTTTCCTCCCAGTTGTCACTAGGTTCTTCTCTTTTTTCACTTTCATCATCTTCTTTTTCACTGTAAGAGATAAAAGAAATGTATTACACCCTAAATCCTACTAATCAAAAAGTCATTACATCGTCCTTTCCACCCCCTTGAGTATTTCATATCTTGTTTTCAGCTAAAAGATCTCCTGAGCTGGATAATCAACAGCCTCCAATGGGTTTGTCCTCCATCTGCTTGTCTAGTCTACCCTTGAGTCCATAAACTAAGTCACTACAAAATCCTCTGACAGAAAGTTCCACATGCCTGAAAACACACCAGTGTCAAAAGCATTCAGAATGCTGGCCTTTGGAAAAGCACAGCGCTCACTTTTCAATCAGTGAAGCAGCCCACTTGTTACTTGTCCATTCAGACACGTAACTGTAACTTATCTGCTCTGCCACTCGGATGGTATGGAGAACTTGCGGACCAGAAACCTGTAAACAGCCTAGGACTAGTTGCTTTCAAAGAGGGAAAAAATTGATAATGAAGCAGATTAATGCTGAAGCTTATCAGTACTTGAAAGATCACATGATATTTTCAGCCTAGAACTGTGCTCATTAAAATCCTTTTTCCAACTTGATGAAACCTTTTTATTAACCAGAACAGACTGAAGTGGACTTAGTTTGGATCAGACTACAGGAAGAATCTAATGAAAAAGCAAACAAAGCATCTCGGATGAGGCTCACAAATGCAGTCCTGAGGGTCTCATCACAACATCGTGGTTTTATCAACTGTATTTTTGTACTCTTGAAATAGAAATGCAAACATTCAGGAATTTGCTCCAGACTGAGTCAGATATCCTTGCATCATGCAAGTGATTCAGGAGGAATTACCTGGCATTACTCTCAGAGAAATTCCCGTTCTGTTATCTATACACAGGTGGAATTTTAAGTACTTGGAGAAAACTTTAAGTCTCAAACAAAAGAGGCCCAAAACATCAAAATGACAAATAGCCTAAGTTACCTGACAGCAATCAGACCTACATTAGCAGAAACATATCAAAGTTCTCTTTAATTCTACCCTGTGGAGAAAAAACAGTTCTTTGAAACATGCAATGATTAACCTGATGGGGAAAAAAGTGAGAAAAAAAAATACCTTATTTGCATGGACTGAACTCTAAGACCACTATAATCAATTTCTTCTTTTTGTTCAAACTCTTTCCAGTCATCCTCTTCCTGTAAGAGAGAAAGAAGCTGTTACCATCTTCCTACCAAACGATGAAGAGATGATAGCCAAGGTGATGCAAAGAAAACTAAAGGCAAACGTGCAGCTCTGTGGCAAACCAATCTGTGTGCACCACTGCCAACAAGGAAAGAGATCCCACTCCTTCCTCCCCTAACTTACTGCACATTTCCATAACGTGCCTGTGAGCTCATTTTAACTGATTTTAACTCACTACAACAGTCACAAAACACCCCAGCAAAAAAAGGCGTTCAAGTGAAAGATAACCACATCAGCTTAGCAAAAAGCTAGAGGAAAGGCAAGGAACAGGACCGTGCAGCAGAGAGCTGTGAAATGCAGGGCAAGACCTCTCCCTTCTACTGAGCTTTTATGACAGCTTGAATGCTCGTGAAGCTTTAGATTTACTTATCCATCACATATTTCACAGGACACAAAGAACAAGGAATACCCTAAATAGCTTCTAGTCTTTGGGAAGGACACGGGGAACGCGAAACCCATCTGTGTGTAGCCAATTTTGTCCTTCATCAGGTCCTGGTGTTATTAAAGTAGGGCTGAAGGAGACCAGAACAGATGAGCAGTTCTCCTTAGTCACAGGTTTGACACACACACTGCCTAATTAGCGGTTACATACTTCCTGCGTTACACTGCTCGCAGCAGGCATGCCAACGGCTCGGTGCCCTTCCAGTCGGGCAGCTAAGGACACAGCTCCTTTGAGGAGCCCTGCACACCACCGACCTGCAGCACCGACAGCGACCTGCCCCGAGGTGACAGCAGAAGCGGCCTGGGGTCACCGCACCGCATATTAAGGACTCAGAAGCTTCTGCACACGTGCGACTCCACAGCTCCGAGAGCTTGCAGACTTCTTACACCCCCATCTCCATGGAAACAGTACAGCTCCCAAATTAACACACCTTTCACATCTAAGGAACTCGATTTCCAACCCAAGCCACGGGCGAGAAGAAAGCAGGAAGGTTTTCCGTCGCCCTTGCTCCAGCCGGAAAGCTGCGAGCACCCCAGCATTAGCGACACGCTGTGCGAGGCCCCAGATGCCAGCCGCCAGCGCTCACCTCGCGTTCTCACCAGCACCAGCACCACCATCACCATCACGCACCCGACACCTCCCGGCAGCGGCTCCCCCGGCCGGGCTCCGCGCACGCAGCAGGCGCAGCCCCGTGCCTCCCGCGTGGCCGCGGCGGGGCAGAGCGGCCCGCACCCCGCGTGGCCGAGGCGGCGCCGCCCCGGCGCTCCCCCTGCCGGCAGGAAGGCGCCGCGGCCCCGCGCCCGGAGGCGGCCGTGCCCCTTCCCCCAGCGCCGCCCCGGGCCGCACCTTGCTCTTGGCGGAGCCGCCGCTCGAGGCGGCCGCCCCCGAGCCGCCGCCGCCGTCGGTCGGGCGGGGTCCTCCGGCAGCGGCGGCCGCTCCGGCGGCGTTGGAGGCGGCGCCGGAGGCGCTGGAGGCCGTGGAAGCCGCGGCGGCGCTGCGGCCGCTCTTCTCCTTCCGTTTCTTCTTGTCCCGCTTGGCGAAGAAGTCGTCGAGGCTCCTCTCCTCGGTCTCCGCCATGGCGGCGGCGGGGCCGGGCGCTGCTCCTAACGGCGGCGGCGAGAGGCGGGAGGCGGCCGGGCCAACAGGTGTGTCCCCAAGCGGTTAGCGGCCGGCCGGGCCCGCCCGTTGCGCGGCGGCGGGAGGCTGCCGCACTCCACGCTGGTGGCCGCCGCTTGACACGGCACGAAGCGGAGGGGGCGGGGCCGCAGCCAGCGGGCGGGGCCTTCCGGCTGACGCGCCGCCGGGCGGGAGAGCGCGGGGCGGGCGGAGACTTCTGCGCGTGCGCCGAAGCTCTTCGGCCAATGAGCGGCCGAGGAGGAAGCGGCCGCCGGCCAGTCGGAAGCCCCCGGGGCGAGACGCTGACGTCGCGACGCGAGAATGCGTGGCGTGCGGGGAGGCGGCGGCGCGGATGCCGATTGGTCGAGGAAGGGCGAGGGCGGGCGTACCGGGGACCGTTGAGCCCTGGCGGTGGGATGGGTGGGGCTCGGGTCGCGCGTGCGCGTTGGGGTTTCTCGGCGCGTGCCGGGCGCGGGCAGTGCCGGACGTTGGTTGCTTCCCGCCTCGGGACAACGGCCCCTTCCTGTCAGCGCCCCGGGAGCGGTGCCCGCACAGCACTCCGACGGCCGGGATAGCAGCCCGCCCCCCCGAGCCCTGGGGCAGAGTAGCGAGGGCGGGGCTTGTACCGCGGGGAGATGTGCCTCACCGGGTGCCGGTGCGGGGGCTCAGCTCTGAGCAGCGCAGCAGGAGCGCTCCAGAAGCGTTGGGTCGGGGCTCTGTGTAAGGCTGTGGGAGCCCTCAGGAGTCACGCAGCGACGGGCAGCCGTCCACAGGAGGCGTGAGCGCTGCCGGCCCGTCAGCTGGGAATTATCCCTCACACGAGTGCAGGTTTATATAGTAACACAGAAATAAGCGTCTGTACGTCCTGGTATCGCCTTATGTTTTCTGTTACGTATGTATGTGTCAACGTACAAATTAAAGTGTTTCTAAACTGTGAAGAACGTGTGCCAGTCTCTTTAATTTGTGCCCCTGTGAAAATAGAGTGACTTGGTGTTTACCATCCGTGATTCTCAGCTCGTCAGAAAAAGCAGGGGAGGTGTCACTGCCGTGCTGCAGGAAGGCTCACGTGCCCTCTGCCCTCTGTACTGCTCTGTGGCTGTCACTGAGCCTCTGCAGTGGAGCGCTGGAGCTTGAGAGCTTTGTTAGGATCCTCTGTGCCTGCTGTGCTGTGATGCCCCCCTATTTCTCTGCGTTTGTGCACTCAGGGATTTGATCCCAAGCCCTGAAAAGGAAGAACTGCAAGCACAGCTTGTTCACCCAGTGACACAGAGTGCTGCGTGATCAGTGACGCTTTCTGTTTTACCATAGGCAACAATTGCATCAGTGGAGAACAAATTCCGCAGTGAAGTCTCGTTCTCTGTGTCCATAGGGGCACCTGGCCTCTCACACTGCCCTCCTCAGCTGGTAGGAAGTTGCTGCAAGACAGCTAGGTGGGAAAGTCTTTGAGTCTCTTTTGCCTTCCCTTGCATTTGCATTGCACTTCTGCCTGGGAAGCTCCTCTATCTCTGTACTGCACCGTGCTGTGACTTGCAGGCTCAGTGCTGATAACAAAATGCAACTAAGCAGATAAGTTGTATTCCTCAGCTTTTGTAGCAGAGAAGCTAATAATGGCCCCTAAGTACAGTGCTGTGTGTGATTCTAAGATACACTTTTTGTATTTCAGCAGCTGGTAAAATGTTTTCATTGCATTATTATGGGTAATCCCTAGTATCAGGCTAAAGAATGTGAATCTGATACCTTTTTCCTGCTTTTGTCTGTGTCGCTTGTCTCTTGCAAACAAAATAGTGTAAGGTTGGAATGACCAACTCCGGATTAGAAACTTAATAACTGTCAGGAGCCAAGTACCAAGAGAAATTTCAGCTGTTAAATCTGGAACAGACTCAGTGGAAACCATGGAAAATAGCAGCAATGTTTTAGGCCTTTGAAGCCTTAGATCCAGGTTTAAAGACACGTCTGAGTAGGCACTTTAAAGGAAGCATTAGTTATGTGGCTATGCCTGGATTTTCCTCCCACCTCTAGCTTTATGCAAAACTGCAAAGACATGCTGATGTGCAGAATTTGTAGTCAGCTGCAAATTTGTTGCATTAGCTTATATGGTCAAGATCGTTGCTGTGTAATATGTTAGAGTCATTAAAAAAAAAAAAAAAAGTCATTATTGCTATTCTTTTCCTCTCAAATTTGGTGATCTTCAGTCCTAGAGCAGAGGACATTTGGCTGAAGAATGGCTTGCAGGCACAGACTAGCAGAAGTAACGTTTGCAATGCAAGGACTTTATCCAGAATGCCTCGCTGCACTGACAGGAGCATGAGCTCAGCAGACAGGTTCCTACTGCATGATATATCACTGACATGTGCAACCAACCCTTGGTAAGTCTCAGTGTTCTGTATGCCTCTGCTTAGGTACAGATTTGCAGGGAGGACTTTGTCTCTTTTCTCCCCCATGTTAGTGTGTGGTGCAGCGTGCTTGTCGTGGCATACTGCCATGCCTGCACACCTCTTGCCTCTGTCCTGTCGTTATGATGTATCTTGCCAGGACACTGTTCCCTGTGCATCATGATGCATTTTATATACACCAAGGAATGAAGCATGTTGTGGACATGTTGCAGTAGTCACTATGCATGTGGAGAAGCTGCAGAAAGGGAAAGCAAAGGGAGCTGTGGGTGATGATGCAAAACCTGGGAAAGAGTTAGGAACAGACTTCCACTCCCAGTCATTTCATGGTTTGTCTTATCCTGACTTATCTGTACCAAATTATCTCCATGCTGTGAAATGAAGGTGGGAGTACCTCAAACTGCTTTGACAATTGCAGATCACCAGCAGAACATTAACTTGGTAACTCTTAGACAGATACCTGCCTAAGGGAATTGGAGAAGGTGCCCTTAGGAAAGTGCAGCTGAAGGGTTCCAGTTCAGTCTCTGCCACAGCAAATCTGGTTAACAGCAATCCAAGGATCTGTGTCATTGCATCTCATGTACAGCTCTTTATGGCTATTTTCTATCATCACCACTACTCTTGATGGTTTCTCAACTTGATAAATTCTGCACAGATGTGGGAGAAAGTTTTATCGCTGCTCTGAGCAGCATACATTCTGTAAGAGAAAAAAGGGGTTTGCCATCATTTCGTTCTTTTTGGTTGCTGGTTAATCTCTTAACATCTTAGAAAAATCTTCCAGGCAGTACATGCTCACAGGGCTTTTTGTATCCAGAGATTAGTCAAGAAATTGTCTGTCAAATAATTGCACTGGGAAGGACTTTCCATGTGTGGGGAAATATGCATGGAAAGGTTTGACAGTTGTGTGCTGATTCCTCTTATTCACTGGTGGATCAAGTGTAGTGGATTTGCAGTAGATTTGGATCTTAACTGTCATTAAAAATGAAATAGTTTTGTTAGCTAGTGTTTCAACTAAAAATTGAAATACCTTCAGCCTATCGCAGCTGCTGTATGCCATGTTCTCTAATATAAGCCATTTCTAAGTAGCCTTTGCATCCACTTAATAAACCATCTTATCTCTTTTTCTAAGCGTCTGTGTTGTGAAATCCTGATCCAACAGAGTGGACAATAAAAGGATGTGACCCAGACTGCAAACAAAGCTCTTGTTGCTCTCCTTAACCTTCAGCTTTTCCAAAAGTTTAGTGTAGAGTCAAAGCATATTTACTAAGTACTGTTTGGATGCTTGCATTAGTGCTCTTGCCAGCTTATGCATTGCAGAATTAATTGCATCGAGTTAATGTAACAGTTGAACTGCTTGGGCCTCATTTTAACTACATTTCACTCTAATGAGCTGCTGGTCTTGTAACACCAGAGTACTTGATGTTTGTGCTGATTGCATAGTGCAGGAGTAGTCCAGTCTTAATGTATTTGTACTAAAACCAAGAAATAGACGTGGTGGGAAGTAAAGGCACTATGCTGCTAACGCAGTCCTCCTCAGCTATCACAAAAAATACTGAAAGAAAAAGTCAAACAAAAAAACTCTGATATTCTTTATTTTTATTATAATTTTAACAACATGAGTAAATTGAAATCTGTAAGCAAAGCAATTACATGAAGAGGGTCTAATAAAGTTGTTCAAGCTACAACCTACTTTGATTGTTGAATCAAACTGAATAAAGCAGGCTGCTTTGATGGGCATTTAGCTTCCAAGAACATACTTAGCAGTGACATCTTCTTTTGCTTTGAGTGGCAATGATCTTCTATAGAATGGGAATTTCATGATCAACTGAAAGTTAAAAAATAAAATAAGATTCATCATTACTACAAATAAGACAGTTATTGAACTAAGTGTTCAGTTCAGCTGGTGAAATCTCATCAGGACCTGACTGTGCAGCAGAAAATAAATCTGATACACTTTTTATTTCAGGATGAGTAAAAATTTCTTCCTGACCTGAGCAGAAGAGCAAGTCAAAATCTGGGATTCAGATCCTCAGAAGTTCCATGACTAACAGTGACTAAGGATCTTAAAACACACAAACACAAACACACCAAAAAACAACCAGCCAAGCAGTCCAATGCTGTAAAGGAGTTTACAGGCCGTTCCCTGAGGATGACTGTTAGAAATCTGAAATATGTTTCTTCAAAAAGGCTCACTGAACAGGCCAAATTTTGTTCTGAGACTTCAGGAGCAACTTATGTGATTAGAAAGGGAGCTTTCCCAGGAGGACAGCTTTAATGTTTTGACTGTATAAATGGAAGAGGAGGGAAGGTGTAACGTACCCAAGGCAAAAAACAGAAACAACAGCATGGATGGTTTGCAGCCAGAGGCATAGCCCCCAGATGGTGCAGCTGCTGTTTAATTTCAGATTTTGTCTGCAGGGAAGTGGGACTGATGGACCTTGTGCTGTATTTTTAAACTTCATCCTTTTGTGACAGTACTGAAAAGCTGTCCTGCCCAACATATCAGGAATTTCACCATGGCTGGATTTGGGGAGTTCTTCCCCTTTGGCAGCTTCTCCAAACCTATCTACCTAGCACCCAGCTTTAAGAAACCTGCAAACTGCTTTAGTCACATTCTCTTCCCAGAGTGCCTGTGCGTGTTTCAGATGAAAGTACCTGCTTTGTTCTCCATCCAGAAGGCAGTGATATGCAGCAATGTCTTTCTCTAGCTGCTGCTTGTTGGTCAGCAGATTCTCACGATCCCGCTGCTGCTGCTCAGTTTCTGCTTTGATTTCTGCCATCTCTGCCTCCAGCTTGGAAATGACAGAGCCCAGGTTCTGCAGTTCGATCTCATGCCAGTGCTTGGCATCGTATAGGGAATTCTCCAGACCCCTCTTCTATAAGGCCAGGATAGCAGACATTAAAATAGTTTTAGTATGCATCAGAATTTTTTTTTCAGGTTTGGTCAATATCTTCATTGACTATGCTTAAGTGGCAATCGAATATTATGAGAATTCCTTTTGTTAAACTGTCTGAAAAGTGTGTATTATCATTACAAAAGTTGAACCAGTTTGGTTCCAAGGTTCTGGGCTCCTCTTGAAAGCAGGCAGAGGAGGGCAACAAAGCTTGTGACAAGGTTGGGAGTCATGTCCTGTAAGGAGGGGCTAAGGGTACTTGGACTACATTGCCTGGAGAAGGCCAAGAGGTGATCTCATTGCTCCCTGCAGCTCCATGAGGAGGGGAAGCAGAGGGATGTGCTGGCTCTGCTCGTGGGAACCAATAGCAGGATGGGAAGAAAACAAAGCTACACCAGGGGAGGCTCAGACTGGACACGAGGAAAAATTTCTTTACTGTGAGGGTGGTCAAATACTGGAACAGGCTTCCGAGTGAGGTGGCTGGTGCCTCATGCCTGTCATTGCTCAAGAGGCGTTTGGACAATGCCCTCAGTAACATGCCTTAGCTTTTGGTTACACCTGGAGAAGTCATGCAGTTGGTCTAGATGGTCACTGAAAGTCTCTTCCAGCTGAACTATTCTATGTTACAGAATACAACCTACTCAGCAATCTCAGTGAAACTCACTATTAAGGTAAGTATGGAGACACTAAAGACATGACGAGGGCATGCTCTCTACAGAAAGCGTGATGAAATCACACAGAAGATAACCATTCTAGACCAATGTTACCTACCAAGGTTCTTAAGGACTCAGTTTCAGCTTGCAAGCTCTGAATTTTGCAGGCAGTTTCATGGAACTCGGTTCTCAGGCCCTCTACCAGTTCTTCTTCTTGGCTTCGCACTGCAGCTGTCGCTTCAGCCTGTTGCTGGTGCAAGATTATGACTTCTTATTACAGTGTACTCAAATTTTAGTTGCCTTACGTTCCAACGTGACAATTAATACATTGTTTTCAGTTTGTGGCAATTCAGATTTTGAGTTTGATTGCTGTATATTAAATTCCATTCATCATGGTTTGGATAGTTAAGTGTCTAGGCACTTACTGTAAAATGGCCTATACATGTAAGCATATATCTTTGTCTATGTCAACAAAAGCTATCCAACATTCCTACTAGCGTGTTTAAAATCACCTATGAAAAGAAAACATTGCTGTAATTATTCCTTGTCTTTTTTTGTGGCCATACTATAACAATTTTCAGAAGTTAAGTGTTTTCACTCGGTCCATTTGATTTCAGATATATTCACACTGTCTTTTTTCACATAGGATTCTATGAATCAGAGAAGAATTTATATCACAAAAGGCAGAAAAATAATTTTCTTAATTGAGTTAAGTTATGCAATTTAATGCTCTTGTTGCTTGTCATTTTTTATATATGTTACATTCAGGTGCCTCTAATATTGCTGAAGGAAAATATACTTTAGCCAAAATAAAATTTCTATACTTCTAATGATCTTTTAAATATACTTTTATATACTTCTATACTATTTTGTGATCTAGGTTTTCAGGCTGTAGCTCTGGTCTCTCTAGCAAGCATAATTGATTCTTCAGTCAAATCCTGTATTTCTTCTTCAGATTACCACTGAAGTTAAACCATGTAAAATACTTCCATTCTACCTTGAAAATTCATTCTGGCTCTCTCCTGATTTTCTAATCATGTATACTCTTATTTTACATGTTAAGATCAAATAATAATAATAATAAAAGCCCTAGGACTATGCGCCAGAAATCATTTTTGTGACAGGCTGGAGTCATCTGTAGAACTCCTCATTTTACTGTAACATGAGGTGAATCATGGAGCTTGGTTACTGTGAATGAGATAATATCAGGTGCAGCCCAAATCTCAGCAGAGACCTTGTGACAGTTAAGCACCAGTTAATTCCAAAATAGAATTTTAGGATTTATGAACCTGTGTTACACAAGGATGGATGTCAAACTACAGATCAAAACTGTCCTTTTCAGCAAGTTTCACAGAACCTGTATTTTCTAGAAATAGTTTATAGAGGTTGTGCTTCAGGGAGACACAATCTGTTCTCCTCAACGGTTCAGGCAAACCCAGACCCAGATCACAGGCTGGCTACTTTGGAGTAATTTGTTTCCTGAGATGTGTTGAGACTGTAGTCTGTGAATTATGATGGTACTAGGACTGTAAACGCCTCTTTTTAATGGGAGACATAGGTCAAGAAGGATGCTTTTTCATTTGTATTTACAGCCTACACATGTTGCACAATGCCTTCCAGCACTCATTCACATTCACCTTACTGGTGGCCCAGAAGGGTGACTACTACTACTTGTAAATCCTGCTTCCTCTCACCACACGTGATGCTGGGCCTCCTGCAGGAGTTGCCCAAGGCTTTTAAGGCTCCCTAACACAAGTGATGTGAATGACACAACAGGCAGATGGAGATGGCCCATCAGACCTTAGATACTGAGGATGGCATAGGAAGAGATGCACTGGATGAGCTGTAAAGGTTTTGGTGCACACAAAGTTTCTGTGTCCTCCTTCCAGGACTGCCAGTTGAGTCATCCCAAGGAGTTCATATGGAACATGCTGCTGGGCATGAAATTTGGCTTCAGATTTGGGATTCCTTCTGCAGAGAAGTGCAGGTGTAACGTTCCTACCCTCTTCACTAGGCAGATGGTATTTTCTGGGGCCTCTGCCCTTCCTGTTCCTGAGACACTCCACACAGAAAAGCTGTACTGAATTGTGGTGCCCACAAACAGCTGGATAATAGTAGCAGAGAATGAAATCATCCTCTGAAATCTTCAGGCCTTTAGTGCTTGAACTTCTTAGGAATGTATGGATTTCAAAAATATCTGTGCAATTCTGAGTCAGGCATTCTGCAAGAGTGCAGAATCTCTCATTAATGTCTTTTAATGGAATCAAGATAATTAAAGCATGACTGGGGATAGGACATCAACATCCAGGGTCTGATCAGTTTGATAGCTGTAGAGGGGTGCAGGCATTGTTAATGCTTTCACTGCTCAGGGAATGTGTTAGCAAAGCAGCAAAGGAGGGAGAAACAACTGACATAATCCATGAGATTTTCAAAACCTTTCATGAGTGATAACATGGGGGGGATCACAGGAAAAACTGTGCAATTATGTGTGCAGGGCAGAGCACTGCCATGGATCAACAGCTGCTCAAGAAACAGGGCATGCAGAGGAAGATTAAGGTCTAGGATCACTATGATAGAATTTTAACAGCATGGTGCATCAAGCTGTACGGCCTCGTGGATAAATAATGAACTAGAAAGACAGGTAACAGAAAGCAGAGATTAGTAATGAGCAGAGGACAATTCATGGAATCAAATTTCATGAATGAACAGCATCACTTCACTAAGTGGAGATCAGTGTTGACTAAAAAAAGTAAAGAGCCATTCAGGGGAGGAAAAAAAAAAGCCAAACAACATTAAATAGCTTTCATACCTTACAAAGGTTTAAATTACTGTGTCAATTCAGGGAAAGAATCTGTGCATTACGTGCAGAGCTCAAAGCAAAGGACTGGAGTTTTAAGGTTATTTATTCAACTAAAACATTCCACATAAAACACCATTAGGTATAAACTGTTTTCGTGCATAAATGCCCATGAAAACCAACCCAAAATTGCAAGTCCAGCTGGAAGAAGTAAGCGAGGCAAAGAATTGATCAGAAATTAAGGAGTTCTCATCCTCTTTCAATTGCAAGAGTGCAAAGACAAGTTTGCCATCATTTGGATGACAAAATGGTGTGACCCAACAGCACAGGGAGGCTGGAAAAAGTTGGAAAAAGGGCCGGACATAATTAGCATAGCTCCCAGTACTTGTATAAATAGTAACAATGTGTTTATCTGGTTGAGATACAAAGCTGCATGATCCGAGTTTAATTTGAGGACAAAAAGAACCAAAGCTAGAATGTTGCACCAGAACCTGTTCAAAAACAGAACTGTTCTTCCCAGAAATCTGATATTCTGGTTCGTTCTTCCATTAAAAAAGCAAATCAAAACAAGTACAACTGCAACAACTCTTTAAAGTAAGAAGAAATCTGACTAAGGTGGCAAAGTAAGGAGGGGCTAAGCTTTGTCTGCCTGTCAGTTTCTCTGCCACATCTGGTGTTGGCCTCGATTGAAATCACAACTGTGGGATCAAATGGTCATTTTGAGCTGGCAGTTTTCTCTCCAGATCATATCTGTGAGCAGATGAAAGGTTGGAGGTATGAAGGAAATGAAGAGAATGAAGTTGTGACTGACAGTTTGCACATACAGAGGAATAATTAGGACAGGAAAGTGGGGATACTGAAGGATGTGGGTCCTCCAGGATAAACTCCTAGTTGGCCCCTTGTATGTTCCCTAGCAGCTTCAATATCATTGTTGTCATGCAATTTGTTTTCTTCATTTTGAAAGCAGACACCCACTCAGAACTTGCATATGCCTTTGCAAATGTATTTCTTGCTTTTCTCTCTGGCATCGCTGCCCCCTACCCCTCCCATAGTAACTCTGTATCAAAGGACAGATGAGATTGTGTCTTTGCTAAGTATTTCTGTAGCACAGCCATAGTTATGATTTGATGTGTCACCACCAACTCAGATAGCTGTTAAAATACAGGATCATGAACTTAATGCTTCAGTTCTGCACAAATACTTCAGTCAGGCAGGAAAATGAGTTATCCTTTGTGACAGAGCAAGAGCTGCATTAGAAGACTGGTTTAGATTCAGCATCAAGAGAGGAGACAACTTCCAAAGAGAATGTCTATTATCACTTTTCGTTTCCAGTTTTCCCACTGCTGCCAAAGGAAACAATTTCAAGGAGAAACACATGAGGAATGCATAGCTGTATAACTAGCGCAGAGCAATGTACTTTACACTTTTGATTTATGGGTCTCTGTACATTCTCCAGAGAAGGAATGGCACAAGTAGGGTAATAACACCTCCTGTGGAGGATGCACCAATCAAGTGATTAAGTTCATTTTTTCTAGCCAACATTGCAGAGCTCTTAGAAGTCTCCCACAAATACTTGTGATATCGGTGGCGCCATTTCCAAACAAAAACACCAAAACCAAAAACCAGCCCTTGAAGTTATTGCAAAGTGCTGAACAGATTTTAGGTTTGCTTTGAATCTCTAGATGTTGGAGTAACTTCTGGACATTGGCATCAGTGCTTACCTTGGTACGGAGCAGGGCACCTGCCTCAGCACGATTCTTTTCAATGTCTCTCTCCCAGTGGATTCGGATTTTTTCCAGTATGTTGTCCAGGCCACTTCCCAGGGGAACATCAAGTTCTTCCAGCTGAGATCCAGCAAGCTGTTTGTACAATACCTTCACATCCTTGAAGGACAGACAAAAAAAAAAAGCAAAATGGACCAGTGAATGGTAGCAGAGAGGGGTTTGAGGAAGAGCTATTTTGGTGCCACAGAGAAATTAAGCCTGGTCCCAAGTGGTGCCCCAGTGTTAGCGATTTAGTGCACTGGAGGGTTTCTTTTTTCAGTGGCACTGGCTAAATGCAGAGGGAGAGGAGCTGCTGGGAAGCTGTTGTTTTCTTTGTGCCACATGTACAGGTAGATAAGAGCATCAATGCCAACTTTATTTGTTTCACAACACACACTAATACAAACAGTAATATATGGAAGTTTAAAGGGGGTCTTGTGCATTTCTTCCAATTTTCCATGTTTTCCCTCTTATCTAAAAGAGATCCCATCTTCCTTGTGGCTTACAGTGGTACTGAAGCCACTGATCGCTTTCAGCAAAAAGCCAGTCCTGGGCATAGGCTCATGAAAGTGGGGAGGGGATGAAGCTTTCCCTTGGCAACCCAAGCCTCCACACACCTACCAGTGTTGTGGAAATCTCATATCTGGAAAAAAAACAGCTAAAAAAAACCAACTGAAAGAGATGTAAGGACAGAGCCTCACATCTACAATACATCCCAATTCAATCTCTCCTCTACTTTGGAATCATCAGCACAACTGCTGGCTGTCTCCTAAGTGAGTTAAGTAGCAGCTGCCTAATTGAGGCCCCATTGGTGAAGATTTGGGCCAGACCCTGAAAACCCTTGCTGAAGGGAATAAACCACAGTCATGCAAATAGTGCAGGAACATAATGAGTAACTGGGGATGTATTGCAAAGCTGGGCTACGTGCTGATCCACCTCCAGCTGTCTGTTTCTGCTGCTTCCTTCAGTGCACTGCTCAGGGGAGGTTCAGTCTTGGGAACCAGGCATTGTGGCTCAGGATGTAGCTGAGCACATTGAGTTAGCACACAGTGTCAGCTCAGCAGGGCTGGAACCGGTCCCCTGTACAGGCATTTTCTCTTTACATCTCTGTGGCTGTGAATCTGACCTCTTGCTGCTGGGATTTCCATATTCAGATGTTCAACCTTGTGAACGTCTTGTCTCCTATCCAGCAAGAAATGGGGTATGGACATCTGTTCTGTGCCATATTTAGCAAACAGGAAAGAGTTAACACTCACATCTATGTAACCTTATAATGCCTCAAAAGTTAGCGCTTTAAATTAACAGAGAGGAGAACAATAGGAAGTTCCCCCATCAGGAGATGGCAGGTGCAGTGCTGCAGTGCTTGCTCTGCTCAGTGCACGATGCCAGCCACATGAAGCAGGCACACATTAGCTCTGCAATGCCCCGAGCCTGGACTTACTTCTTCATGAGTCTTTGACAGCAAAGTTAGCTCCTCTTTCATGCTTTCTATCTGGCTCTCCAGATCCATTTTAGTTAAATTAGCATCATCAATCACTTTGTAAAGGGAATTAATTTCATCTTCCACTGCCTTTCTGAATGGCTGTTCATTTTCATACCTGTAGAGAGGAAAATAAAATAGGCACAGCTCAGCAAGAAAAATGTGCATCTTTTTAACGACACCATTTTGTTAATTAGCTCTTATGTCCCTGACAGAGGCACAGAAACACATGAGATGTGCTCTGCCTTCACCTTTGTCTCAATGTACCTTGTCATTAACTCTGGGCCTAATGAAAGACACCAGCTGGCTGTGGTAGAGCAGTGTCAGGCTGACAGCACTCCTGATAAGCATGGGGACACAAGTTGTCTTCTACTAAGCCTGATGTTTCTATATCATATGAATACGTGTGGATTTTTCTGTTTCTCAGTGTGACTGCTGTGGCAGCTGCTGCTGCCTGCTCCTCCCTGCCATACTCTCAAGTTATCAGGACATTCAGTAGAACAACAGTGTTGTGTTTCTGATTCTCTCCACTGCACACACACTTTATTTTTTTAAACTACTTAAAATACGTGTGTAGCCTAGTGGATGTAAAGCAACAACAAAAAAAAACACAAAAAGACAACCCTATAAACATGACTAATGCACATTCTGATGTGATTAAATAAAATAATACCTGAAGGGAGAATCAGAAGTTTAAGGGATGACAGAACTCATGGGAAATAGCTATTTGTAAATGTGCAAGTCCATTATGAGTTAAAACTAGAACAATCAGGCCCTGTAATACTTACAGAGCTTCACAAGTTCATGTACATGAATATTAGGCTTTACAAACAGAAAGACTTTAAAAGTCGTTTTTCATTACTTTGGATCTTCTTTCACTATTCATTTCTCTCAGTGAAGAGAAGGAAAATAAATGCAGCCCATTTCTCTTCCCTTATCTGATGTTTCCACAGCAAGGTCTGTAGTGGTGCAGTTTGTGTTTCAGGTGCTGCAGCAGAACAGTCAACAATTCTAAAACCACCACTGCAGCACTGCAAATTGGATCTAAAAATCACATGAATGCTTGCCTCTGTGAAGTATCAACACTAATCTGAACGAATACTGGCCTCTTAGGAAGAGATCAATGCCCATATATCAAAGAATAACACTACAAATGATTAGATTAATAAATATTAATCCTCAGAACCTGTTTCAAAATAATACTAGAATTGTAGTTATTTTGCTGTGTTACAACACCCCTCCCACATTAGGTGGGCTAATAGTCACTAAGCCTTACACCCCCACTGAGTAAGCATTTGCCAAGGCAAAGTGTCAGGGAAGCAGGCCAGCCAGGTGCAACCACAGGTCTTACCTGTCCTTAAAGTCTTCAGCAGAGGCCTGAATGTTCTCAGTGTGCAGCATGAGACGGGCGTTTTCAAGGACTGCTTCGCCCACCTGGAAGGGAGAGACAACACAGCTCAAGCAATTAGCATCTCACACAGGCACTACCTGCACAGCCCATCTGTCTTAAGCAGACAAACAGTTCTGATTCTGAAAATAATCTTTCAGCCTGGGGCTGTTCACATGACTCATTCCAGGTAATTTAATCAATAAGTTTTGTACATATCAATTCACAGTTTGTCTGCAAATTGGCTGTGATTTTTCACCGACACGTTCGTTGCTCCTAAAGATTCATCTTCTTGTAGAAACACATTCATCCTGACTGTCAGCTGGTCACAAGGGGTAAAATTCATTACTGCACACGGGGTATGTTCAGCATTTAAGTCCCACTTAGAGTTTCTAGATACAGTTTAAGGAGCACTTATGCAGCTCCTATTCTACTTCCCATATCAGCAGTCCTCCTCAGGGTCATCATCATCCGTGAGCCAAGGAATATTTGATGCTCGTGCCTTGAGTGAGTGGTCCTCAGCTCCCAGAGCACTGTTTTTCTTCTCTGATGGGATTGCATACGCTCTTGCTGTAGATACAAGACCTGGGAAGCAGTCAGTCTTCAAATATTATTACACCAAATGTGAAGAGCTTTGGAGAGACTGTGCAAATAAGACTGTGGTATCATTGCTATGATTCTTTGGTGTCGATATAATCCCCAGGAAGCACTTCAGGGGCAATCAAACCTAAAAGGCTTGTGACACAGAACCCTGTTGGGATTCAAGAGGGTTATATAAAATGATTAAAAAAAAAGTAAAAAAGGCCACAGCCTACCCTACAGCATCACATGCACTGGCTGAAGAAAGGCCCAATTTACTATTAGGGTGACAGCAAACACTTAGACCAGGGGCTCCACAGGCCCAGCCCCCTGAGGTCTCTGCTGCACTCTGGAGGAGCTGAATCAAGTTTGAAGCCAGAGAGTCCATGATGATGGCTAGGACCAACCATCCAGGATCAGCAAGCAGCTGGAACTGGGGACCTACCTGGAAGCACACTCAGTACAGACCCAGCCCCACTGTCTGCACCTCAATTCTTTGCCTTAGGGATTGGCTGCCATGTGACAGGGTTGGCAGTGAAAGACTAAGAGTGGGAGGCTGCGTGATGCTACAGGAGCCCGTAGGACTGAGTAAACAAACATCTCTTTGGCCTGCCTGTTCCAAGAGATACATACAGAGATTTGTGTTGGAAACCAAACCACCACAGGAATAGGAGCAGATTCTTAAATGGGCCAGGAAACTTACTTGTAATCTTACTTTGGATAATTAAGTCTGCAACTGTATGGGATTGCAAATCCCTTGAAGTGTTCTTTCTCCCAAGGTGAAACACACTGTGCAACATGGGGCATCAAGGCTGCGTCCAGACAAGTCATGCCAAGTACTGCCAGAGGGATCAGTGCTGCAGTGTGATCCTCCTACCTGCTCCACAGCCTGCTGCTCAGTGAAGTGGTAGAGGGGGAAATGCAATGCTGAAACCTTGGTATGTGATAGTTAACATCAGTCATTACAAAAAGTGGTCTGCTGCCATAAATTCTTACAAACTCATGGACTAGGAGAGAGCTGGGGAATAACTTATTCCCCACATCGAGATGTTCATGGTGGAAATTAGCAGCACTGCACATTTTTTAAATCTGAGAAGGTACTGGAATAAAAGTAATGACTTGCTTACTTCTCACCTGCTGCTATAAGCAACAGGAAAAGGTGGCTGTACAATCAACAAACATACAATTAGCAGAGCAGCATGGTTAGGCTGGTATTCTATAGGTTGTATAACTAGAAGTACAACAGTGGAAAGAGATAACAAAAAACAAATGAAAACACTCACCTGTATCCTACGCTTGCAGAAAAAACACCAAATAGAGCAATCTCCAGAAAAAGACCCTTCCCCATGGCAGTCAGCCCTTAAATGGGGTCTAGGAGAGGTGCAGCCAGGCTCCACCCCTTCTGATCACACTGAATTGCTGAATTGCCTCCACCTGTGCTCCATGGCTGACTCAGTGCTTGCCTCAGGTGATCAATCAGTGCTTCAGGCCATGACTCAACAGTTCCCATACAGTGGTCATGACTAGAGGCCCATTCCTACCAGCTTTGGCTTAGCCTGGCTTCCAGAGGAAACAGAACTTGTGCCATTGTATGTTGAGCTGATGGTTTTTCTTTTATAACTTTGGGATTTCTTGGCCAGTTCCAAATGATATGATAGAGGACTGGGCCATATAAAAGACTGCAAGTTCCTACACGCGTCATGAAAATAATATCTAGACAGAGGGGCTGAACTCCACAAATGTCACCAAGAGCCAAAAAAAGCCTCAGCTCAGGTCTGAGAAACCTTCAAAGCACAGAGTAATGTACAGAAGTCAGAGATGTTACAAAAGCTACAGGTGTGGGCAGAGAACATGCCTTGTGGCACAGCAGCCAGACCAGCCACAAGACCTTTACGTGCTCTCCAGCACACAGAGATGGCTCAGCTTCAGCACTCAGACCCTTATTTCCTCCTCCCTGCTCTGTTGCAGCCTCCCTGGACTCGCACTGAGCCCCAGGTACTCCCTTCTGAGGCATCTGGGGGCTTTGGGGCCATGCTGGTCTGTCCCTTTATCCCCTCGTAGGATGGAGAAAGGACCACGTGGCAGCAGCATGGAGGTATAAGTACTTCTTTGACCCACACACTGACTGAACCTTCTTTCCTCTGCTCAGTTTTAGAAAATTTGATCCCGGAATCTTTTTTTCCCCTTAGTTTTACAGAAATTATTGCATTTTGTCCTCCTGCTGCCACTCCTACATGAATGGATGAAGCTGATATTTTTCCCTCGCTCCACTCAGCATAAATAAATGCTGCCGTGCCATTTGCCCTGACCTGCCAAAACAAGTCCATTTGCCTCCAGCAGTGAGCCCATGCAGTTGCGGTATCTGACCTAACGTCTATGGAAAATGAAAGCCTTTGAGGAAACTGGGAACATCTTGCCAGCAAATTTGTACGGCGCAGTTCAGATAGATGTTAATCACTAAGTGGAGAAGTTGAGTTCAGTGCAGAATGACTTATGGTCTTTAATGGTAGCAGGAGCAGAGAAGATCTGGTAATTTTCCACTGCCTGCATTTCTGCCTCTATGCAGAGGCAAAATGTTTCTTCAAAGTGCTTTCTAGTACTAATCCTGTGGTTTTGCTGAAGCACTTGGGGTAACCTGTTGGTCACAGCTGACCCTCTCCAGCAGGCAGTAAGAAACCCCTCACAGACCTGCTGCTGGCACCGGATGCCTCGTGGCAACTTCAGGGTTTCACAAGATGGCACAAACCTGAACAGTGCCACAGAAATAAAAACGGTATGAAAAAAGGATTCGGACGATGGCAGTCACCACTGTAAGCAACAGAAGTGAGCTGTGTACCATTTAAATACAGCAGCGAACCTGAAGGATTATTACTCCATAAACCAAGTTTCATGAGAAATTCTAATTTACATGAGCCCTTTTACTGGCTTAAAAAGAGGAGGTGTCAGACTCCCATCTAGTGGCTCTTCCCTTTGATTTAGTTCTCCTAATAATCAACAACTAGATCCAAACACACAGCATTAAACTGATTTGCAGTCACTCTGCTGACACACATAGGAAAAGATGCAATGCAGCAGTTTAGGAAACACACTTGCTTGTGTCTGCAGGCCGTGGGAGGGCCCTGCTGGCTCCATTTGCAAAGCCCAAAGCAGGACTGTGCTGCCTTGCGGGGCTTCACTCTTTGCCAGGATGGCAACTGTTAGAGCTCAAATACAAATAATAAAAGCTCCTTTAAGCCCCACGTTGTCTTTCTGCATTCGGATCTGTGATGCACATACACCTTCTGAAAATGTATTTTTTCAGCTCAAGTTAACACTGAATATTTGTGATACAAAACAATTAGAATGCCTCAACAGTTTTCTTTAACTTCACCTTGTAGGCGTGAAAACACAACTTGAACTTTTAGCAAAGATATCATATTTGAATAGAAGCTACTGATTCACCAGGCTGCACCAACGCCCACGTTCATCGGGTTATGTCTGGCAGCAAGAAAAACCGCGTGCTGAGAGCATGCAGACTCCATCCCTGCTGATTTGTGATGGCACTCACAGGCCAAACTTAGCCCTGCTGGCTGGCAGCTTCTCATTTTAGCAGACCTGACCAAGTTTGGGAGTGCACAATTTACCACACCTTCCAAATTCTTAGCTGTGCTTTATTGATAGCTTTGCATAGTTCTGCTGTTCTTACCAATGCCTGATGACTTTCTGGATGCTGCTGAGTCCACGGCTTCAGGTGTGATAACGAGTCTCATGTGTTGATTATTCATATAACAGAAAATCATTTGGGCTTTTAATTTTGTACGTGATGCTTTCACAGGAAAACTTCGGAGCACCCTGCCTTAATCTTTCCTTCTATATGCTGAAACCATTGTCTCCAACACATTCCAATTCAAAGCTAGGCCAGACTAAAGGCTCATGATCCACGTGCTGCTGCTCAGGTGCCAAGCCCTGAAGTTGCAGTGCTTTTGGCCAGCCTCTCACAGCTGGGCCTGTTTTTAGAGCCCAAAGGAGAAAAGCATGAAGGTAGCAAGAGTGGCCTTTTGTTGCACTGCCTTGGGAAAAGTAGCACTTGGATAGAGGCTGGGGAGATTGATATGTACCCTGTAAAACCTGTAATGTTGCCTGCACACAAGGTTAAAAGCTAACAACCCCACCTCACAGCTGAATGTGAAGGTGGTTGAGGTTTACGCTGTCATAGAATTGGTTATCCCACTGCACAAAGGGTTCAGACAGCATTTAAGGCATTCTGGGTGCAGCCGTGCCCTAAAAGTGCAGCGCACTAACAACACACCCTCTTTCCTAAACCAGAGGTACAACTCTGTGTTGTACACCTGCGGCACAGCACAGAAGTTCTTGGAGAATGTGAAGCTGCCTTTCAGGCCTCCTGAAGACCATCCAACAGGGTCCTAAAGGAACTGCCTTCTCTAAGACTGTTGTAAGACATCAGAGGTTACGAATGGCAAGACTATGAGCCAGAGAGCCAAGGAACTGCGACCTTCACAGAGCACTGAAGGAAGGAAGCAGAGCCTCATTCTCCCTGCAGCAGGACACCGGCAAGCAGAGACCGACTGCTTCCAGCTCCTTTACTCCCAGCAAAAGGAATCAGGAGGATGTGATCCTCTGGGGCTTGTTGCTGGTCCGCAGCATCAATGTGAGCTCCACTTGCCACCCCCAGGCAGTGCTTCCCTTTAGAGCCTCCCAAGACTGCAAAGCACGTGCCCTGTGGGGAGGTGGGAGCAGGGGGTGGCCACAATGGGAAGCAAAGGGATGGAGTCGCTCATTTGCTGTCATGTAATGATTATTTTTCAATAAATAGAGCTTTTGGAAAATGTGATAAAGCAAACAAGGGAATAAAGTAAAAATCTGAATTGCTAATTAACAAAAAAACTCACCAACACAAACGACAGGCTTGTAATGATATCACGATGATGGATAAGCTAATTCAGTCCTAGCAGGTTCCTTTTAATAATTTTGATGCTCAGCTTAATAACCACAGCTAAGCAAGAAAAATACTAAAGAAATCGCCCATTTCCACGAGAGCAGAGTATGGCACTTCAGGGTACATTTCAATCACTCCCATGCACAGGATGCCTCAGGCAATTCTCCTCCTTAATAAGCATTTTCCACGGCACGCTGTGAAACGATAAGGCTGTAATTATCACGAGGACAGACTTAACACCCTCCGTGTCGGCTGCACACACCAGGTTATGCCGCGCTTCTCCCCAGCCCCGCCACTCACCTGGTGGTACACGGCCTCCCAGCTCTCCCGCAGCGTGCCCCAGCTGCCCACGCTGGAGGACTTCTTGTCCAGGTAGACTCGGATGTGCTCTTCCAGCTCCTGGTTGACCTGCTCGAGGGCCCGCACCTTCTCGATGTACTCCACCAGGCAGCCATTCAGGCTCTCGTAGGAGAGCCCCCTGCCCTTCTCCAGCCCCGTGGCCAGGGGCACGGCGGAGCAGGAGCTGCGCAGGCCTTGTAGGAAGACGCTGCTGATGCCCAGCGCTCGGCGGGACACGCGGGTGCCCAAGCTGCTCACTCCTCCGGTGGGCACGGCACCCACATAGACGCCGGGCGGCCTGGACAGGCTGCCCACGCTCACCCGGCGCCCCGGGCCCCCCACGCTCTCGGTGGCGGAGGAAGGGGCTTGCTGCCCCAGGAAGGACGACCGGCGCCTGGGCAAGGGCATGCTGCCGCTGCGGCCCGCTCAGCCCTGCCGCCAGCCCCGCACTGGCGGGAGGGATGTGCCGAGCCCAGCAGGTCGGGGCTCGGTGGGGCTTTCGGCTTTGTGCGACGGCTTTCTGGAAGGCGGGCTTTGTGCATTGTCCGGGCGGCTGCTGGGTCAGCAATCCATTTCAGGGGAAATCTCCCTGCTGCTGCTGCTGCAAATGTGGCAGATGAACAGCACAATGGTGTTTACAGGCACAGCGGGCAGGAATTCATGACAGCGTACGTGTGAAAATGCCAGCGGTGTTTTCTGCGCTGACGCCCGGATGATCTCCTGCCCTAATCCATCCATCCCTGAATTACAAACACGCTAGCTGCTTGCTTACTCCACACAGGCCTTCCTGCAGCAGGACATTACTTCAAGTTAACTAAAACCAACCTCTGAGGCACCTGCGGAGCTGTGGCCATGCCCAGCCCACGTTTTGCTGCTGCAGGGACTCGAATCCCTCCTCATTCTATGGACAGCTTCTGGATTTCTCGGTGTTTCGGCCTCCCCAGGGCACACGGCCCTGGCCCAGCAGTCTCAGAGCAGGGGCACGCACCCTTTACATCTCTGCTTGACTTTTAAGTCCAAGCACAATGAGATCGCTGGAGGCCAGGTTGGCACTGCGCCTTCGTGTGAAGCCTGTGGACACCACAGCATCTCACAGCTCTGCATGTGGCTTTGAGTACTTTCTGGGTGTTGTGGACTGAGGTTTCCAAACAAACTGGGCTGGCTAAAGAGAGTAATCCTCCACCAAGTTTGTATATTCCAGTGACAACTTGATTCATTGCTTTGCCAACTTGTTCTCCCCTTGCACCCTCTTTTCAAAATACCCAGTAGCTGAAGATGAAGGCCCCCATTTGATTGCTTTTGCTCTTTGCAAGATGCTCAGGAAGCCTTTACTCTGTCACCTGCCAGCAGATTGCAGGAGGCTTTTTGGTATTCCATCAGGAGGATCACAGGTACCTCACCGCATGTTGCTTGTCCCACACCTTCCCTCATGCCTGTCCCTGTCCACACACAGTTGTCTTACTGCCTGCCCTGCAACTTCTGAGAGAAGCGGTGCATCACTCTGTGATTCTGAGTGGAAACATCCAGTTTCAATCTCTAACGTTTCAATTGCATTACCTTAGGAAGCCTGGGGTCCATATTCACATCTGTGCTTCAGCACAGAAGAAATGCATGTGTGGGACAGGGAGAAAGAAAGGGTGAAGATGCCTTTATGGCCTCCCTGAGGCAGCCCCTGAGGGAGCTGCATCTTGGTGCAATTCCAGCCATCACATAGTCAATCTGTCAGCTTGCTCTGGGGATCCACAGACACTGGGACTCTGCTGACAGGTGGTACAGCTGCACCAGATGTGTCACTGCTAGAATTCCCTTTTCTGTTACCAGATGTGGCTCACTTGAGCAAGGCATGTGGTTAGCAATGCTGCTCTGACCTTGCCTTGCCCGAGGTACCTTTTTACTGATAACCTCGTGCAGCCGGTGGTGCAAAGCAGCCAGCCAGAGCATGGGGTAAGCTCTGTGCTGCCTCATAGCCATTCTCAATGAAGGCAGGAGTGAAGGAAGAAAATACTCTACAAGGACCAATGGCCAAAGATGGAATGAAGAAGGCTGAGGCCTCAAGGGACAGAAGCCACTCCACTTGTTGAGCAAAGTGAGAAAGGCAATCTGCAGAGCAAAACCAAAAATTGGCCCCGTGGTAACAGTTCAGGTTTACTTGAAGAGAGAACATCGATTTAGCAAAGTCATTCCACACTCCATGTTACCCTCTGCTTGTAATGGCCCATTTCTAACCCATCATTTAAGGTTCATTCGCCTTTCCTATTCCCAAACTACTATTAGAACTTGCAATCTGGTGCTTAACTGGGTAGATCTGAAGTGCCAATTTGCTCCAAACACTGCAGAGATTTCTGTTCCTATGAAGGGGACACTCTACTTGCCTTCTTTGGAGGTTGTTTGCTCTGTGGGAAGTAATTCAGGACTCTTTGGGCTGGAGAAGAGCAGCTGCATGTCCAAAGTGTAATTGTTAGGGCATTTATGCAGGAAAAAAGGCCATTCTGGTCTCTGCTCTTGTAAAACACTTTCAAAGTGAAAACTAGAGCTCAAGTCTTCCTATCTAAGAGAGATAGCATAAAAATGTCACTGGGCAATGTTACTACCCAGGTGGGTTGCCCATCTCCCGGACCCCATGAGTGTGTTAGTTCATTCATCATCCTGCTCTGTCCCAGCTTTCCTGCTCTCTGCCTGCTGAGTTTGCAGACCCCAGTGGGATTCAGACTCTGACTCATCCCACTGGGTGCACAGGCAGAACTGGAGCCGCTGGATGCATGACAGGTATGTGAGCCACATGGATTGCTACTGGAGACCAGACTGGTCCTGCTCTGCCTATATCCCAGCCTGGCAACCTAAAGGAGTGATCTGAGCCAGCTGGCTCAGTGTAGGGAGGGGATGGTCACCAGGCAGGAACACACAGAGAGACATCATATAACTTCAGATTGCTCCGAAGCCACTGCAGGATGCTGTAGCAAACACACTGCCTGCATCAGAACCGGCTTTACCCAGTGTTCTTTCAGGCCAAGCAGATTTAGCAACAGGTTGTAAAGGACAGGGAAGAAAGCAGTCAATCTGACAGGTGTTTTGCTTAGAAATACCTTTATTTTATAAAGCCACAGTTTGTTCTGTAAAGTTTTACCACACTTATAAAAAAGGGGTTGACAATTCTGAAGGGAAAAAAAAAAAGAAAAGCTGAAAACATTTCTTGTAATTCGGGGTTACACAAAGGTTATATTTATAATATATATATATTTATTTATAATTTGGAGACAGTAGAGATGAAACCGCAGGAGGAGGGCAGCCGTGGGGTCATATCTCAGAGACTTGCTCGTGGCCCACAAACAGCGTTTCCTGACAGAAGGGGTTCACGAGGACCATCCCGCTGTCGCGGTAGTCGCCGTTGGCAGGGGAGCGTGGCTCGGAGAGGTGGTCCTAGGAGAAGGGCAGAGAGCAGCATGAGCGTGTCGCACCATCACCCTCCGGAGCACACAGAGCAGCCCGCAGGCATCAGAAAAGGGCTGTTCCTTCTGTCTTGGGGCACTCGGTCCCATCCCACAGAAAATATCTGAATTGTGGGGGGCTCCAAAAGGAGAGCTAACGTCAGAGAGCCAGTTCTGCAGGCAGCGGGAGCCGTGCGTGAAGATAATCACTCACTGCTCTGATAATCCTCTTTTCTCTGATAATCCTCAATTTTGCTGATAATCAGGCTGATTTTTTTCTCAGTAAGGGGACCCAAAAATCAGACACACCAAACCAGTGTTTGACCTTCCACTTTTCTTTTTTTCACTTTCATGACGTGTTCCCATCTGACAGCGCGGCTTAACTTGTGAAAGATGCATTTGCACTACTTTTTAAGGTCAGACAACCGAATAGATGGCTTGAAGCTACCAGTCCAGTAGCATTCCAATCAGTTTAAAATGACTCACATGGCAGCTTCTGGAGGCCACGTGAATGGTCCTATCATGTGAAAGCTGCTGCTTGCTAAGTCTAGACCAGAATCCTGCTTTAGCAGGAGCTCCATGATTGCCAGCCAAGTGGCATTGATGAAGCGATCGTGAGTGCTTGTCTTGTCACATCTCCGAGTTTTCTTTCTGAACACTTTTTTATTTCAATTCAGTGAGTTAGTTAGCCAGCTGATCTCTTGAAAATCACTTCAGCATAAGCTCAAACTCTTCACTGTTTCTAAGTTTTAAATACCTTTAAACTAAGCTAAATTATTCTTTTCTGATTCCGAGGCCAGCTAGTATTTCTATCAGTAGGATCACCTGCCCATACAGGAATATTACCAGTGAACCAGAAAGAGCCCTTCAGGAAAGACTGAGGAGTGTGTGCCAGCCCTATACACTCCCATATGCTGATGTTTGGATCACTGATGTACTGGAGGACTCACTCTCTGAACTGGTACTTGAAAAACTATAGGCTTATGTATTATTATTTATTGCACCTTGTGATAGACTTGTTGGAGAGAGGTTGAAGCTTTTTGAAAAACTGTTTCCCTGAATATGCGTAGGTATTTCATAGAATCATAGAATCATAGAATCATAGAATGGCCTGGGTTGAAAAGGACCACAATGCTCATCTAGTTTCAACCCCCTGCTGTGTGCAGGGCGCCAACCAGCAGACCAGGCTGCCCAGAGCCACATCCAGCCTGGCCTTGAATGCCTCCAGGGATGGGGCATCCACAGCCTCCTTGGGCAACCTGTTCCAGTGTCTCACTACCCTCTGTGTGAAAAACTTCCTCCTAATATCTAACCTAAACCTCCCCTGTCTCAGTTAAAAACCATTCCCCCTTGTCCTATCACTATCCACCCTCATAAACAGTAGTTTTCAAGGCTTTATTAATATGACTTCCTTTCCTTTTCTCCCATTATGGCTTCAGTTACTGTTTTCAAGCACTAATTATGCAAGTGAGGTACCTCTGATGTTTCCAGGGACTGGATCTCTCTCGGTAACTCCACAGCATGCCTGTTGAAGTAGTCCATGGTAATAGCATTATTCCAATAGCTCAGATTGTTTTCTGGGTTGGATGTCTTTTTCTTTCTCCTCATGCAGCAGACTGTCAGCAGAACTGCTGTCAACAGAAACATAAAAAATTGGTTATTTCCTTTCAAGAAGGACTCATCAGTAGTGGGGCTTAAAGCTTCTTAAGGAGAGAGCTAGTGACCTTCATTCATATAGCTGACCCTCAGTTAGATCCAGCTCCCTAACAGAAACCACACAGTTAAGTCAGGATGTGGCCCAAGATGAGGCTTTGGGCTTGGCAGGATACGTACTTTTCATTTTCTTCTTGACGTGAGTTTGTAAACCTTCTGTTGTGGCTGCCTGGCTAATGAAGAAGCTCTGGTGTTGTAATGGATGGCATTTTAACACCTAACCAGGGACTGACAGACCCTCTTGGACAGAGGACACTCCACAGGGACTGCAAATGATACCTCTACATAGACGTCTTCTGTTTCTGG